GTCTGTTTAATGTAAATGACATGAGGTGTTCGGGTGAGTGTTCAACATACGAACGTGTGATTGCTTTATTGTAAAATACTTTATTTAATCCGAGATCATACCCTGGTTTACTTATTGTAATAGTTTTAAGCGCGTTAGGTTACCCAAATATTTTAGTGAGTGCTCGTAGAAACTCTTCTTCTTGGCTCCGCAATTTGTTTTATCGAACGCGAAGATTTCGTACTTATCCTGCCGGATATGGAAGGTTCTTGGACTGAAGCAGGAAAAAGTTACAACTAAATCACATCAACGTTTCCAGTACTTGTGAAACTGTTTCGTCTGGACTCGCTCTTCTTTGGTACATGCAGTTTGAAAATGAAATGTCCTACCAAAACAACTGTTATGACAATAGTGCTTGTGGCAAAGAATGTCGCGTAAAAAATCATATTCTGTCGACCTGAATTAATGTTACCACCTGCTGCAAGTTTCAAAAAGGATCTGTCAGCATTACTTTCATTTGCTTCAATAACAGAAAACAGGCCGTCATGATAGTGACCATCTATGCTTGCGGCAGAAACCAATTTTCCAAGTTCTGCATCTTCAACCAAATTCAAATAACTGTCACCAGACATAGAGAACACTGGAAAGCTCATTCTCACATAAAGATCATAACCTATAAAAAGACCGGGCCAGTGCCACGGGCTGCTTTGTCACTGGTGTCAATACTAGATTTTTCAGCAAACTTCAAACTGGGATACGAGAGTTGCATAAAGGGTAAGTGGACATGCTGATGTGAGACGCTAATACTGAGCATGCTGATATCAAAAGGTTAGAAGTTGAAGAAGGAACAAAATCAAGTAGTGCCAGAAAAAACAGTTCAGCTCTTTATTTAATGTGATTTGACGGCTGCCCAAAGCTTTTGATTCTACGTGAGAGAAAGAGAAAAACGGTAGAAGAAGAAAGTATTTAACGAGGTTGATTTCATACTCTTTGTTCAGAAAGTTAGAAAAAAGTCTTTGTCTATCTTTGTGTTTCAATCTCCTGAACAATTAATCAACATTTGAACTAGCTTTTAGAAGGACGACACAATTCCGCCAAGTTGTTCACCGCAGCTGGCAGTGAGTGATGAGATCTGATTGTGACCAAAGAAGCGAGATGATGGAAGATTCCCTCGAATCTTCGGTTTGAGGACATCGTTCTCGTTTCAGGCATTGACACCGAACTAGAAACGACACGGAAGAAATTAAACGAAATAGGTAACATAACCAGTCGGCAAATAAATCGGAGGTAGCTTAGGTCATGAGAAAAGCTCTTTGTGGGGATGCGGAGACGGAGCTAGGGGGAGATCAACATGGAGAACAACTAGAGGGAAGAGCTTATAAGCACCGTCTAAAAAGTTCTCGATTTCCATGTTTTTGTCGTTTCGGAGCCTTCCATTCCTGATTACGAATATCAAGTCAAGAATTTGCGAAAACCCCAACAATCCCCATTCCGCAGAGCCCGCGTGGCGACGTCTTTGTAACGGTAATTAGTTAGATGGCCGTGCAAACGTCAGGCTGATACAAAGGGGAGGAGCCAGGTGGCATCCGTCATCCGAAGTTAGGGCTCGGGACCAGCAGGAACCAGTGATTAAAAAGTCCCTTTTAATTTCGAAAAACTTCTACATTCCGACCTTTTTTTGCTTCCTCATTTGCCCTTCATTCTGGGTGGGACTGCGACCCAACACAGAATCAGGGGCAAAAAGCCAAAACAGAAAAACGGGAGACCTACAGCTCCCCTCCCTCAACCTCCATTTCTCTCTCTCTTTCTCCCTCCCTCTCTCTCTCTCTCTCTCTCTCTCTCTAACCCTCCACATCGCCCTCCCCAACCTCTCTGCAAATGAGGCAAACCAATGGATAGAAAATAGCAACAAAAGGAGATAAAAAACAAGGATAAAACCCGAGCGGCGACGGTTTGCTTAAAGGCAGTGGATCAGCAGAATGGACCCTCATCGAATTTTGGTGGATTTAGGTAGTACAGCCCCCAAGTACAATGTGGCCCAAACCCCACCTTCCAATTCATGCGCTGAATTCTGTAAACGCGCTTCAAACTTCCACCAATGACACCCACTCAATGGAAATGGGCGGGGCTGGTGGAGTTTTGAAGCGCATTTTTCAGCACTTAGCGCAAGAACCGGCAGGTGGGATTTGGTCTACAGTGTACTTGGGGGGTCTACTATCAAAATCCACCAAAATCCGAGAAGGGCCCATTCTGCTGATCCACTGCCTTTGATAGCCTTTGTCATCGGAGCATAGCGCCAATGAAAACCTTTTGAGGGTAATAAAGAGCCTAGGAGAAACATCACGAAACCTTTTATTCCCTGTATGAAAAATTTTGCAGTGAAGATACTACAAGAAAGTATGAAAATTTGTATGAGCAAAGCGTCTGTTCCAGCTCAGCTGGCACCCAAATGGCCCTTTCCAGTTAATGCGGAAAAACGTTAAGCACGGTTTTTATTCGCATAAGTTTTCATAAAATTTTGGGCTCTACTCTAGTTGGAGTCCCACGCATGTGCACACAGATTTGGCGATGCCACACCGGCGGTACTAATGAGCAACCATATAAAAAGCAAGAATACCACCGGGAGCACGCTGCCTGCATGCCGGTTGCATGCCGACAGCGTGCTCCCGGTGCTCCCGGTGTGCTAGGAAACGGCGGAATGCTGTCCCGCAAAAACGATCTCCTTTTGCTTTTCCGCTCGAGCACGATATCCAGCTTGACCCAACTCCAGCTGCGCTCAGCCTTTTTCGAAGCGATTCTCAAACAGCTCAAGTTGAGCAAGTGTAATTTGAGGACCTCGCTATTGTTAGGTCCCATTGACCCCATTTTGGCAGTGCTTTCAACGGGAGAAGAAAAGAAGGTCTGGGCTGTCTTTAGACCTCTGTAAAAATCCACCGATGAGCTGGACCCGAAGCTTCTAGATCCATCTCTGCTGCTCTCCTGGCGCCCTGTTGTGCTGAGAGTGGGTCGATATTGTATTCGCGTCAGAAGTTTTAGGAACTACTTATAACAGAGAGGCAGTTCTCTGAAGATCCTAAGCATAAGCAACATCTCGTCAGACTTCGCAATATGGATATGAGAAGTATGTTCCGTTGTGATCCAGCGGAATACGTCTCAAAGACATTGCGATTGGCCGGTCACATTGTGAGAAGAACACACGATACTTTGCCATTTAGAACATCTAGTGGATTCCTTGCTAAGGGAACTCTCCGAGGAAGACCACCGTTTGTAAGGCAGACCTGTTCGCGGAATGGATGAACCGACGCACTGGAAGCGGAAAAGCCGCAGCCCTTGATTACTACTGCTACCGGGTTTTGCAGTTTCCAGCAGGAGCATGGATCGCTGCAGTGAATTGAAGGCAGTGGCTCGGCAAATCTCAACCTAGTGAAATTTTCGCTTACCTGGGGTTTTTCAATACGCTGATTCCGAAAATGCACTTTTGAGAGCTTGAAAACGGCGAAAACGAGCGTTTTTCAGTGCCCTTCTTTTTGGAATTGGGCGAGTGGAGCAGGGCTGATGACGCTGAATCGTTGCAGGACCCAATGGTTATAGCAATGCGGCGGGCAGCCTCCAATGGTGAGAAGGAATTTGCCAACTCGTCCGGATGCGTGTAAGATTAGTCTGCGCGTGTAAGTTTGAGAGCAATTTTCTCGGCAGGGAAGGCATGCTGTGCAACCGGGATTGCACTGTTTTGAAACTGGGCGATAAGGAACCCACTGCGTTGAAATCCTGAGTTGTTGAGTTTCGCCGACCCACTGCCTTTAAGGCTCCCGCCAGAGTGTCGAAGCCACGCCAGCGCTGCGCCGGCGCCGAGCCAGCACCGAGCTAGCGCCGAGCTTCCCCGGCGCTGTTTCGATCGATACATATGCATTTTGTTGGGGCGGGGCTAGCCGACCTAGTTCTCAGCCAGGTAAATACACCGACTATTGATCGAATTTCCCAAAAGCGTTGGTAGCCCTGCCCGCACAGGGTCATCTAGCCCAGCCCCGAACAAACGGGACAGCTCGGCGCTGGCTCGGTGCCGGCGCAGCGCCGGCGTGGCTTCGGCACTCTGGCGGGGGCCTAAGGGCCTTGGGTCCGCCTCCACATGAATTTAGGGCCGTGGCTGTCTTAGTGTATTTTGGTGTAGCTGTTCAAAAGACCACGGATAACCGCACTATAGCGGCTGATCTGAGAACCTTCATTTAGTACAGTAAATTTCAGACCAGCCCATGGAAGCCGGATACCCGGCCGTATGTAACACGCAGTAGTAAATTAGGAGCCACTGCTCCTCTGCTCTCAGTCTCTGAGCGGCTGAAAAATCGGTGGGTACAGCTTTTTGCACTTTCTGAATTTGAAATCGCAAACGCAGCCACCGAGAACCAAAAGATCGTGGTGTCAGAAGCGAGGGACAGGAAACAGGAAACTTCTGCGCTGAGGCGCGCACGCCACGTAATGGCTGGTCACCTAGCAAAAAGTACGAAAAACTTAAATTCTGAAAAGTTCTTTTTGATGACACGTAAAAGCAGGCCATTGAGAGGGCTGTGTGGGCCAATGATAAGTATCTTCAAGCTGCCCTTCAAGAAAGGAAAGGAAGCAACAGCGCTTTAATCGTGCCATTCTGGCAGCAACACATCACCTGCACAGATTGACATGGATTTTCAGCGCATACCAATAAAGAAATTAACAAGTGACTTTGTGTTTGTTGGAAGTCTGAGGCCTCAAGGGAGTTCACGCGATTTCGTCGTCGCGATTCATCGCGACGACGAAATCGCGAAACTGTAACAAAATCATTGCATGCTGGTCTTCTTGCATTTCGGTTGTGATAGTTTTCCAACACGACTAACCGTGACTAACTATCACAACCAAAGTGCAAAAAGATCGACATGCAATAAACTCGTAACACTTGTTTTGTCGCAATGAATCGCGACGATGGAATCGCGTGAACTCTGCCCGAGGCCTAACGAACCGACAGTTATCAATAGCTTGCCTGGTTCTCCATCAGCAGCAATAAACTCCACCTTTTTCAGACCCAGCGTACTCAAATTTGCATTTTCTTCTAGTATAATCGCTGGACCTGTAAAAGCTGTTGATGATGTGATATCCACAGCAAAAGGCAGTGACCGTGACGATTTTCTACGCAGCGAACACTGTTCAAAAAGGAGAAATTTGCCATGTTGAAATCTGTATTTCTTATAATGAGAGCACCCTTTATGTGCGACAAGTTGGAAAGCTTTGTGATTTGTGATGGAAGAGCTATAATACAGATCATTTGAAGAAAGGTTCCAAAGAAAGACTTCGCACCTGTCAAGTCTTCTATAATCAAGTCTCCCAAGAACGACGTGCAGTTGGAAGGAAGCTCATTAAGAGAGCGATCAGTGATACGGTCAACGTAACAGGGGACCGCACCGCTTTTTGGCTCACAGAAATCGTCATCTAGCAGAGATAGATTAAATGTTTGAGATTGCTCAAATACTTTCTTACGGGAGTTCGCAATCCTCAAGTAGATACCAAACGAAAGCAAGGAAAATGCTGCTGCTCCCATTGAAAACACCAGCGGCCACTTTTTAAGGACAAAACTAGTAAATGAACCATCGCATTCAGAGGTAAAAATGTTGTTTATTGCAGATATCTATATCGTTATCGCCCAATTATATACAGTCAAGTTACTTTCAACTCAAGATGATCACACAGCGCAAGCGTTGCTTATTGTTATTGTTCGTTTCTTGAAAAAAATTTCCTAATTTTCTTCTTTATCTTAGCTTGACTGGTCAAGTATAGCATTGAGTATTGGCACACATTTCAGCATTCAATTCTACTAGAATGATTTCTGCTGACGAATTATGCTAAGGAGTCGTGGGTTGCAACGCGCGGGATGTTATACTTACGATTAGAACAAGCATCTACCATCAGATGAATCTTTGGAAACTGAGATCCTTCCACTAGAATTTCGCTGAATTTACAAAAAAATGGATAGTTTGCACCCTTTTTTACGGCAAACTATGACATGTCAAGAGAATCAGACGCAAGCCTATGTGCACAAGAATTTTGAGTATCTAAAATCGTTTACGAACTAATGTCCACTACACATTCTTCTAGATATTTGTATTTTTTTTATTGATAGCGTTGAGAGTTAGAAACTGACGACATTACAAAATGAAATCTTCCTTGACCGTTAAACATTATTTTGTAGGATACAGATTTTGCATTTGTGCAGTAGGTGAGAATTGTACACTGCTTCATTTTAATAAAATTTTAATTTTACAAATGGTTGATATACAAATCACCAAGTAAAGATTGTGCTTATATTATGGATCATAGCTGTTGTGATCTAGATTCATGAAGGAGATGCGAAAAAAGAGCGAAGTAAGCATAAATAGGAGCACTTCTAAAATCTCTCAAAATCAAATTCTAACAGTCGAGGAAGTTTGCTGCCATAAGCAACTGTAATGACAATTGAGGTTCTATCTTAAATTCCGGTATCATGATCTCAGAATTCTCGTATCGGTTCCTGTACAGAAAGTAATGGCAAACTTTTTGCAGTATATGTGACCTAGAAATTAGTTTAGAGGAAGCACGCAACGTAAGAAACAAGTATTTTGCAAATAAAATACGACTACCAACGCACGGAATAGATCGAAAATGGACCACATTCTTTTCAGCATCACTTGGAGAAGTTGGTGAGTCCATCATTGACCGAATTGTACGAGACGCATATGCAAGCTCCTAAATTAATTTTTATCCATGGCTTTTGTTCATCATACAGACAAGTGCTTTTGCAAATATTCTGCCATGCAAGCCGTCATAAAGCATAAAGTTTTGGACATTGAATTCTCTGAATATAGACTTTATGGCACCCAAATACAAAATAAGCAAAAGCGTCAATGAACAGCAGTTTATAGAAGGTACCCTAGTAGCAGTAGGGAAATCAGAAACTAAAGGAAAGAAAATTTGAGGGAGAGAAGTAAGGATAGGAGTAAAAGAGGTGCTCTTGGCAATAAACAGTCAGCGAACAGTAAGCATTTAGCCTGCTTGGATTCTAAAGTCAGTTTTGCCTATTTATTCCCACGTTCTCCTATAAGCACATTATACAATCTAGAATTCTGTTACATATTTTGTTATAGCAAAGAGAACGTTATTATTCGGTAGAAACTTGCCACTTCCCCAGCATAAATCCCCCATTGCTGGTGGTCGTTATATTGTTGGAAAGATTACATAATGTCACCGCCGGAAGACGATACAGAAGCGATTTTAGTCAGAGCGATCTATAGCAATAACCCTGAGTCTGACGCCTGTGTCAAGTGGAATTGCGTTCACCTTTGAGTTTTGCACCTTCTTCCGGCTGAAGACCTTGAAAGGATCACAATTATTCAAAACAACGGGACCGCATTAAAAATATACTTTGCTAAGAGCAATTTTGCTATTCGTGGTTCTGATAAAATTGCTTGTCATTCTTACGTGCATTGACAAGAACGCCACGGAGCTCTCGGATCCAAGATCAGCGCAGAGATAATCATTACTGCTTACAATTAGTACACGGATCTGCCCATATACTAACATAGAGACCGCCTCTCCCTGCTTCTATACAACATTTTCCTGTCCTCGTCCCCTATTTTAAATGCGACATCTCTGCTCCAGTATGTTTAACCAGCATGCTCAATTACCCCTTGTAGCATCAAGACCCCCAATTTTGAGTCTGCAAAAAATCGAGAGAGATGAAAAATGCAATGGGTAGCAAAATGGATCAAAGCACTCGATGTATCTGAAGGCAAATATGTATTTGTAACCGCTCACTTACACCCCTTGTCGACTACTCGCAATCCCTCACCTCATTTGCTGGAAAGTCGATGATTTCTATCACCTGATGAATCTGACTATAACACCGCCCCATACCATTGTACGCGTGCGAAGTTTGGTCTATATCCGTTTTAAGAAATTAAACTTTCTATTTGAAACGTTCGTACAACGGACAGAAAGACAGACAAATATACATTTGGCATTGCATTTATACAAATTTGATGCATAATTCCATTGAAGATGGGAAGCAGACGTGATAGTGTCGAATTTGAAAGAAGAACTCATGCTTACGAGAATATCGTCACGGAATCCTTCAGCAAAGTCACTGAGGGGCAGAGACTTTCAATGTATTTGCCTTCTCGCTGCAGAGGTGTAGCAGGAGGACGGTAATGACAACGTTGTACGAAGCTTATCTATGTGAAATTAACGAGAAGAGAGTCTACTTGTGCATACAGGCAGGTTCAGGTAAATGTTGCATAATCTGAAAAAAAAATTCATGACTCTTCTCTTTTGTCGCAATAACGTTGGTCGTTTCATTCTTTTTAGTCGTGGTTTAGCCAATTTTAAAGACAAGTAAAAGTCTCGAAAAATTACAACCTCTAGGATTTTATCACTTAGTATGTGAGGGAATCTCAACAGTAGTTTTAGCTCAAGCGCTGCCAGAGAGCATAGACTTTTCTAGTCTTCACTCCCAAGGTGGAGATAATTTTTGTTTTCTGATAGAACGTGATTCGTTCCAAGCTCATTATCCTTTCGCAACCTTCTACGTTCAGTAAGCTTGTAAAGTTTTCCATTTCCATTCTGCTAACATCAAATATCTATTTGCGAATGCTCACCCTTCTTATGTGAAACTCAATACCATCACTACTTATCATAGTGATATAATCAGCCCCATTTCTAGGAAAATCTTTAGAAGTCGGGCGCTTTTCTGAAGCATACATATAACCGAAAAATGATGAATAGTTTTCAAAACTCACTCTTGTAACGATTGGACGCCGATCTGCTAGGAGAGTCCCTAGTTAACATGCCGCTTATGCTGGATACAGTGAGTAAATGATCTATTGCTGAAAACGAGTTAATCGCAATCGGTTCGACATATTTTCACTTTACCGGGGCTACTAATTCAACCAGTGCGTCACCTTTCCTCGCCGATCGATGCTTGCATTGGCCATCATGGAACGGGTGGAGGACTGTAGGCTGCGTTTATACTGACTCGGAATTTTGGGGACACCTGTTTCCGAAATCAGTATGAACGCAGCCATATGTCGCCGAATGTGGAAGAGTCCCGCGCGGACCTCAGGAACGCATGTACAAGGGTGCGTATTTGTCGCAAATGACCGCGGGGGCCGCCATTTTTCGGCGACATGCAGTCCTCTACCCCCATGGAACGATCCAAACCTACTCAGACATTCGCTGTTGACTCGCGCCGGAGATCCGCCCCTTTTTAAGGGATTCGCACGCGGGGACATTCAAAAACTAGTTCGAGCAGGTAAACAATGCGAGTTCGAATAACCACAACACCTTTTAGTAGAATTATTATTTCCTCCTTTACGGCTTCGGATAAATAATGCGTTCTTTTTCGTGTCTGTTTCATTGAGTCTGGTTAATATCATCAGCCTCAAAAGTCAGTCGCGCTCGAGCTATCGCGTATTTTCTGCAAGATGTGGGTCGCGCCAAAGCGTTGTCTCGCGCAGCACTGGCCCGACACATAATGCTGTCTCTAGATTTTGTCACGAGGCCGATTACTTGTGTCGCGCCGTCATTCTGCGCTTTCACAAAACTTTGGGCTGCGCGAGTTAACATCGAATGTCTGAGTACGTAGTAATTTTTCCGAGCATTCTCCGATCGAATAACCGCTAAGTCATTTTTCAATTGAGATTGACAAGTGACCCAAAGGTTCTTTCTTTGTTACGACTACACTTGCGCATTTCTTCTACATTGATCATTCTGTATTAAAGAATGGGAAGAGTTTGCATTTACTGTCTTTTCCAAACCGGAGTAGGTGAAACATTCCAAGTGGGACAGCGCGTCTGCACTGTCCCGTTCCGTATGTGTGCCAAGTTTGGTCCGGATCGGTTAGAAATGGAATTTCTCATTCGGAACATACTTATAGACAGACAGACATACAGACAAACAGACATTCAGCTTTGTATCAGGTTGGCGGATAATTTCTATTGCACTTTTAATTTTATTTCTTAAAATTCTAAGAAACGTCCGAAAATTCTTATGTTTGAGGAGTGTTAAAGTGGTGCAGAACTCTACCCGCCGGTACTGTTAGATCCGCGGTCCGTGCGCAAAACACCTACTTTATCGGCGGGAAGTACGTTTTATGGAGACATTGTGGTCAGGGGGCTGGCATTCTTCCAGATGATCGGGAAGAGACCGGGCCATATGGTGTCCGGGCAGGGTATGGTCCATGGTTTTTTTAGCGAATGAAAAGGGATGGCACAATCATGTCTGCACACGATAACATGAGCTACATGTTGCGCCATGTCAGCGCACATTGGCACTTAGACATGAAGAACAATCTTTAAAAATTCACAAAAATTATTTCTAATCCTTCAGTACCAAATCCTGCGCAATGCACGCAAAAAGAAAAATTTTCGACGAATTTTTAATATTCTGGGTTCATTTTTCACCCCTCGTTTTTGGCGTGCTAGCTGCACCAAAGTGCTGCCATAAAAGAGAGGATGCGAAAATATGTTCTGAAAAATTTATGGGAGAGATAAAACATGATTAGACGTAAAGAAAAAAATGGCAGTTTTGAGTGTGCTTATAAAGCTGTCGTAAACTTGCTAGCTATTTGTGTATTTGCGTCAACGGTCATACCTGTTGTGTACGCTCTACCGTGGCTAACATATTGAGCAACTTTGAAGGCTTCAAAGAACTTCTGAAATTTTTCAGAATTTTACAAAAAAGTGTAACAGAAATTATCCGCCAACCTAATATATAAGACTAGCTGATGTACTCGGCCTTGCCCGGAATAATGTCATTCTTATCTTTTCCTCGTCTCTCTCATTCGCTTCGCTCTAGGATCAACCCTCCTAGCGTATGATCTCTTGGGCGGCATTGGGATGAAAAGAAAGTCCTTATCTGGTAGTTGCGCTTGAGTAGGACAGAACGATACCTCTTTCTACGTTACGTGTCTTATGAATATTTTAGCAATTTCGGATCAGTTTTTGCTCTTATGTACTAGGTTGCTGCATAAGTTCTGCCCGATTTGAATTTTTTATATTCAAAATAACTTCTTTCAAAGTCAACTTTTTTCCAAGATCTTAGTTTCTTTATGATGAGTAGTTCCTTGGCTATCAGATACCTATTGAGACTTGCAAAAATCTTTGTTAAGGAAGAAGCAAGAACTCAAAAACTTCACCACAGCGTTTTTCTTCAAACCTGTCTTTTTTGACATGGCAATGCTCCCTTATGAGAATTGATAGACATCTTTTCTATTAATGGACAGATAGAGAATTTTTCGTAGATTTATCTGCACCACAAAAGAGCCCATGGGGTCTTTGTTGCCGAGAGATTTTTTTGACCGAACAAAAAATTAGCCACTTTTTGACCTCGCTTCAGCGCATGTGTGCATGCCTATTTTTGAACTATGAAAATATTACAACTGACGTGAGCGGCGAAAAGGAATTGGTGGATGAGTCCTGATAGCTCTTTCTTTACCCTACCACCTCCAACTTTGAAGTCGTCGATTACTTCTATTCGCAGAAAGTTACTGCTTGTAAAACATCAATACAAAAAATTAATGTTCGACAACAAACTTTACTAGCAAGACGTTTTCTTCGAACTGAGCTTCGCATATACTAGCCTTCTACACCCTCATTCCGCAACCAATGAAAGAACTTGACTTTAAGGGCGCATTGTGGAAATTTCCTTGCAAGAACATATTTCTAGAGTGAGAACGTACCTCGACCACTTGGAGATTTTGGGCCTGAAATGTCGTCACGCTAAGAAATTTATTGAAATTTGATATGCGTTAAAAAGAGCAAGAAAAGCACTTTTCAGTGATACTAGGAGCACCGCATTAGAGGTGAAATTCTCTTAGAACAGCTCTTTCAAACATCTTCTTCTTCTTCTTCTTCTTCTTTATCTTCGCCATTGTCCCGCGAGTGCAGGGTCGGCGGTGGTGCATTTTTGCTTCCATTTGACTCGATCAGCTGCTTCTTGTGGTTTGAGCTTTGCAATGTGCAGGTCGTTTCGAATGGTGTCCAACCAGCGTTGCTTCAGACGGCCACGTGGTCTCTTCCCCTGTGGATCTAGACGAAGTGCTGTTTTTGCTACTGTATTATATTCACTTCGTAAAACGTGACCATACCATCGTAATCTGGCACCTCGCATCTTATCCGCGATAGGTGCAACTCCGAAAATGTGTCGTACATCATCGTTCGTGACGCAGTTTCTTCTCGTTAGGCCAAGTATCCATCTTATCATTCGCGTCTCCATCGTGCTCAGGATCTGCTCGTGTTTTCTGGTTGCTGGCCAACATTCGGCTCCATACAGTGCGACTGGCCTCACCACAGTCCGATACACTTTCGACTTGAGATACAACGGAATTCGTCGGTCGCAGAGTACTCCTGTTACTTGCCGCCATAGCCACGCCGCGTTCGTCCTAGCACGAGCATCAGTGATCGTGTCGCAATCCGACTCACTCGGGAGCCCAGGTATTTGAATATCGTGACCTTCTTCAGCGGCTGCCCATCGATGCTAATTGTGCCATCGGTTTGCTCTCCGCATTCCAGGTACTCGGTCTTTGCTACGTTTAGTCGTAGACCATATTCCGCTAATCGTGTCTTCCATCTCACAGTCGTCTCTTCAAGCTCTTGTCTCGATCCGCTTGCTAGCTCGACGTCGTCTGCGTAAAGGAGCGTCCACGGATGCGGCAGCTGGATGTCCTTGGTCACCGTGTCCATGCACAGTATAAAGAGAAGCGGTGATAGAGCCGATCCTTGGTGTACTCCGACTTGGATTGGGAATGGCGTTGACGTTCCCACTGCACAGCGTATGACGCCCGTCGTGTTCGTATAGAGGAGTTTGATCCAGCGAAGGTACTCTTCTGGGACGTCGTGTTGTCTCAGCGCATATCAGATCAGCCCGTGTGGTATCCGATCAAATGCCTTTTTTTAAACCCAGGAATGCGAAATGAATCGGAATCCGTTTCTCCAAATGCCTTTCCATTAGCAATCGTACCGCGTGGATGGTGTTGATGGTGCCAGATCCTTTTACAAAACCGCATTGATTCGGGGTGACCTCCACTATACTTCGAATGCGTGCGTCGATGACTCGTTCGAAGATCTTCATCGTGTGGCATAGCAAGCGTACTGGTCGATATGTTGGACAGTCGCTGACGTCGCCCTTTTCCTTCCAGATAGGGACTGTAACACTCGTAGTCCAGATTCGCGGCAACTGTCCGTCTACGATAATGCGGTTAAAGAGCGATGTGAGATATGCCGCTCCACGCTGCCCCATCATCTTCCACACTTCAGCAGGTATGTCGTCGGGTCCCGGAGTTTTTCCGCTAGACATCTTCCTCAGTGCCTGCACAACTTCTGCCTCCGCGATCCGAGATACCGGTCCAAGTGGGGGGGGGGGCTCCTTGCGGTACTAATGGGTGCGGGAACTCCCCATTAAATAGCCCTTTGTAGTACTCACTCCACCGCTTGAGTATTGCCCTCGGCTTCGTCAGGAGGTTGCACTCTGCGTCCTTAATGTGCATGACGTGGTCGATGTCCTGCTTCGCTCGATGTTGTGCAGCGGCCAGTCGGTAGACCTTGTTCGCTCCAGCAGGTCCTTCCAGCTCGTCGTAAAGTCTCTTGTAGTGTGCTTCCTTTGCTTCGGCTACCGCGTGCTTCGCCTTCGAGTTCTGTTCTCGATACCGACGGAGGTCTTCATTTGAGTGTCAGCGTTGCCAGGCTTTGAAAGCTTCTTTCTTCTCCTTGATCACTCGCTGGACTGACTCAGACCACCACCAGATCTGCTTGTCTACAAACCGGCGTCCTGGCTTGGTGGTTCCCAAGATTGTCTCGGCCCTTGATCGTATCTGCGAAGTAATCCGATTCCATTGCTCTTCAATCGACTCCTTATCATCCGTCGACACCCTCAAATCGATAAGAGCATCTCTGATTTGCTGGCGATGTTCGGGAAGCTTCCACCATTTGATCCTCTTTGTGGTCGTCCTTCTGGCTCGTGAACGTAAGTGGATGTTCAGTCGAAGATCCAATACGAGCAACCGGTGTTGTGGCGCAAATGCATGTGTCGCCGTGGGTATAACCTTCGCGTTCATCACCATCGGCAAGTGGCATCGGCGCAGCATCCAGTAGTCGATCTGAGTTGAGCGGTCTCCACTCGCGTACGTGATCAAATGTGACTCCCGCTTCTTGAAAAATGTATTCGCTATCGCCAAGTCGTGTGCTTCTGCTGCTTCCAGGATGCGTTCTCCATCTTCATTCCTCTGACCGTATCCGTTTCCACCATGGTATCGCTTGAATCCATAGTGTCCGTGGCCAACGCCCATTGAGATCGCCTCCTACGAAGATGTAATCTGCAGCGTCAAATGTCCTTAGCAGGATGTCGAAGTCCCTCCAAAACACGTCCTTCTCGGCTTCGGTACATGCGGATTGCGGGGCATAACACGAGACTATTCGAAGCGTGGCATCATCAGCTTCGATCTTCATCGCCATCAATCTACCTGAAATGCGCGTCACTTCGGTCACTAATTCGCGGTATCTACCGCTGACGATGATCGCGACTCCGTTCTGGCGGCTGCTATCTCCCGTGTAGTATAAGCGATATCCGTCACCGATGTCCTTAGCCTGCCTCCCTTTCCATTTCGTTTCCTGTACACATGCGATGTCGACGTGTCGCTCCTTCAGCCTATCGCATAGTTCCCTACTGCGGCTCGTCAGCGTTCCTATATTAATCGTCGCTAGTCGGATTTCCTGGACTCGCTTCTTTGGCCTGCCTCGTCAAGGGCAGGTAGCCCTACCTCACTATTCGCGCCATGCGGGCAATGACGCGCGTCGCCTCCGGGGGACGCCCTAGCAGCTTGACAAAAATCCTTAATAGTCCGATGCATGTGACACGACTGATTCGTACAGTCCCCGGCGCGTCGCTCCGCCTGACGGGACAGTGCCCTCGTCGTTTGCCGGGGTGATCCCCGTTGCCAGCCGGCACCGCGGGGAGGTGACGATGGGACTTTGCCGGCCAACAGCTCTTTCAAACATAAGGCAAAAAAATTCGGACAGAACTTATGCAGCAACCTAATATAGCGAAAGGAGCCATACTTAAACGATTTACAAGAACGCATGGCTGTCATACAGGGCGGGTGAGGGGACAACAGAGCTAAGTGGAATATTACTAAGATTTCAACAAATATACTAAAACATTGAGTCAGTCTGCTGCGTCCTCGCAATCGCAGAACTTGTTCAAGGGTCCATCTTATATATAAAGGATGTATGTCTGTATGTATCCTGGTGCCTCAAAAAAGTTCCTATGTGAACCAGCATGCTTACGTGGTGTGACTCCCTTTCGCCCGTTTTGACACGTTTCTCCTGAGATTTCAACGGAACTGCCCGAGGTTAACACTTTAAAAGAGCGAAAGGCAGCGAGATGACGTGGTAGCTATGGGAATCTTGCTGGGAAACAAACGATATGTGTCCCCCCCCCCGAGAGCCGTCGCGAAATTTTTCGAAAAAAAAGTTGCTTACATGAGTTATAAAATTGTGCAAATGATTGTTCATACTTGTATATAATTGAAACATTTTTTGAAATTTTATAAAAATTCATTTCAGCCTTATAAAAAAAATCGAAATCCTGGAAACTCAGTATCGCTCACTTTATCACCGGTATAGTTGCTTATAAATTACCAGTGCGTCACCTCTGCTTCGCAGAGGCTCGCACTGGCTCTACTATCTAGGCCCTACTCATTCTCGCATAATGATGGCATTGGAACTCACCGAGCAATGCCGACTATCACGGACAAAATGTAAACAACTACTCATTCCCAAAGCTTTTTCATGTGAAATCGGTGATTTGGCGTGGATGAGACTTTTTGCAGGAGAACAAACCCAAATTTTTATAGGTTTTTGATTTTACCATGGTCTTAACAGTTGCAATAAGAACAGCAGTCACCGTGAGATATATCTTTGTGCAAAAATCTCGCCAAATGCTCTGGTAGAACCTTGACAAATTGACCATTTACTCAACCAATACTTTTTATCGCCGTTTTTGCAAAGTAATGGACTTTTGATCACTTTTTTGGGCCTAAGTCCATGACTTGCTCATTTACTTGCTATGAGCATCAACGACTCTGCAAAAAGTGGAATTACGGACCCAATTTTGGGGGCCAAATGCAAAGTGGATCCGTTTGACGCGCAAATTTTAAGGGACCCGCTTATCGAACCGGTTCGTCCTTGTGCATGGTGAGCCTACACGCTGGCACGGTATGTTGTGCAAAATTACAGCCCGATAGCTTAGTTGCAGCTTCCTCTATGAATTTCGTGACAGACAGATTTACAGACAGATACACACACAAAAAAACAAACGGCCTTAGCGCGTTATTATAGTAGGATAGATTATAATAAATTATGAAATGATCAGCCTCTGACTCTCATTTCCCCGTCAGTCATAACATTAGTCGGTAAATAAAATCGGAAAGTTCACATAAGTTTTAAACCTTCTTGATCTGGAAGATTAGAATGCTCGAAAATCTATCATAGAGCGAAGAGAGCAAGCAAACCATGCCTCTTCTCTTTTTTTCCGAACCAAAATAGTATCATTCATTCTATGACTAAGAGCGAGATCGCATTGCACGCATTGTTCAAACAAGCTCAATCGTGTATAGGGGCCTGCAGGATCGCGAGAGTCGGACGTGCGTACGGCCATTGCGCCGCGCACGTCATATGTGCGTCAGACGACTCAAGTAGGTGCCAGACTTATCCTGCTGAACAGGTTCATTCAGTTCACCACCTTTGCTGTTGGACAGTGTAGTGATTTTACCTATGAACCGAACGAACCGGCTGAAGCGGATAAGTCTGGCACCTGCCTTAGTGACATCGGACGTGCGCGGCGCAATGGCCCTACGCACGTCCGACTCTCGCGATTCTGCAGGCCCCTATGCTTACCAGGTTTATACTTGTTATTTATCTTGTCCAGGTTTATTCACTCTTTGGAAATAGGAAAGAACGAACTCAAACTTGTTAAGATAAGGTCCACAATGCGGTCTCGCGTCTCGTAGTTATGGAATAGATGATACATAAAGTCTGCCCAATCCCAACCAGGCCAAAATTAGCATGGCGGGAGTCCGCGTCGCTAGGGTTCGCGGTCACGCCCACGGCCTGCTTCTCTGCTCTCTCTTCAGTCCTTTGCTCCCTGCAACAGCGCGTATATGCAGCGCAGACCGCTAGCGCTGCGAGCGCGCAAATTTACGCCGACGGTTCGGCCTAGCCCCGATTGGAGCAGACTGTACCACTGGCAGATATGGCGCTCCAGTCACATGCCTGCCAAGGCGTCCTTTAAACTGGAGACTAATTGTTGCTGATGTTCTTGTTGCTGAAGACTGCTGTTGTTTCCTTACTAGTTTACGTCAGTGGGATTTCGTAAAGATTTGCAAAACCATTTGGGACTTCGTTTACAAAAACCCTTTAAGGCAACGCATGCCGGGCTCTGAGCCGTACGCCTGCGAACATGGCGAGGAGCTCTAGCGTCGCGCTTGAGCGTAATCGGAGAAGGGGCACATCACTCACACAGACTGTAAAAGGAGTCATAATAAGAACTGCGTGGGCAACTTATCTAATTTTTTAGACATTTGAGTAGTTGTGCAAACACAGCACTCGTAATCTGACGACAACCTTATGTCTTCTCGGCGCAACTTTTTACTTGTAGCAACATATGTGATATGCTTCGACGTTGTAGTGAAGAGATCTTTCAGATAACACATGTGATATGCTTCGACTGTTTGCATCAGTACCGCTTCGATGTATTGCACTGCGAACAAAGCTTCTCTTCGTTGACGTTCCATCACGTTCATATTATTGGACAACTTCGAAGTTTTGGTCATCGTCATCAGCAATCTCGGATACACTTCTCAACAGTAAGTATTCATTAATAAATTCCAAACTTGTACTCGTCACCCTTATAAATGCCCGCCTTTTCCTAACTCACAAGTTTGATTTTTGGGAATGCGTTGAATAGGCTTCCGGCTTCCAAGCTTTGGCGGACGTATCTGTAGGCGGTTTTTTACAAGAAGCATCTCTTGACATTTCGCCATCAACTATGCTAGGATTAAAGACAATCTGATCAAACATGATGTTGTGGTGGATTGTTTGAGTGTCAGTTAATTTCCGGGATCAGCTGTTCCCTATAAATGGGTTCCTTTTGCAAAATGAGTCAGTTCAATCTTATGCTAGCTGTAATCTTCACTTTTCCTTTCTGGACAAAATATAAGCTGGTCAGATTCATGTAATCACAGCGATTCTATCCGAAAGTCGGTTGAAATGATGTGCAGAATGCATTAAGTCTAGAAACGAAGTGTCAGCCATTACTGCTTCTTTCTCAAGTCATCTTTTTTTTCAAAATTGTACTTCTAGCGCGAGCATATCGTCCGCGTGATGATCGTGTGAAGCAAAGAAAAGACTCTGATAGAGAGAAGGATTCTTCACGAAAACCTCGCCCTCCAGAGCGGAATCATCCCTCATATCGTCCTGGTATGTCAGCTGTTAGATAAATATGCTTTGTCGCGCGAATTCGCATGTTTCAGATGGCAAGCAAAGCGGTGAGAATGAGAGTGGCAAAAATGGCGGAGATCCCAAAAATGAGCTCGCCGCGAAGCTTAGGAAATTCTTTGCCATCTCTCTTTTCGCATACGGAGTTCTCTACATGCTCACGTAGGCTGATGTTTCTTCTAATTCGTTCCTACTTTTCGTAGACTCATTGTTTTTCCCCAGTCAATCAACTTCCAGCCCAAAATCTGATGGGCCTGTTGGTACTGAGCCCATAAGTTGGAGCGAATTTGTCAATCATGTGTTGCCCACCGGCCAGGTACGGCTTTTATGTAATGTTAGCAACTAAATCTCTCAGCATTTTATAGATTCAAAAAATCATTGTTTTTCCTGAGAGAGATACTGCCTTCATCTACACCTACGCTGGAGCGAAGACGCGTACGGGTGGAAATGTTCGTTTTCATTGTTCGTATCATCATCTATCAAGATTGCTCCCTTCACTGCGAATTATCAATCAGTGAAAATGAGATTGTGATCGCTTTTGCCTTATAATTCTTGTTTCTCTTAGCTAAAATTCTTTTCAATCATGTCACCCATTTTGACTTATTAGTCGACTAAGATATTTTGAGCGGAACAGTCGCAAAGAGCATACGCTCATTCATTTTTTTGTCTTCAACAAGCTTGACAGTTACTGTAACAATTATTGCTTTGCAGATGGCATCAATATACCGGCTGGGAATTCCGAGTTTGACAAAATTCGAAGAAGAAGTGCGGGCTGCAGAGTCTGCCGCCCACTTACCGCCGGAATACTGGACGCCCATACAGTATCGCCGCATGGAAGCTATGTGAGTAGTACTAAAAAGTTGTTACTGTGGGATAATTGTGATATTATATATCATATTTTCGCAGAGGACAATGGCTGACTTTCATCCTCGTTAGCGGTCTCGCCATTGGTGCGTACATGTTATTCCGAAGGTTCAAAGGCTCCTTCAATATCACTGATATGATGGTAACCAAATTTTATCCTTATTAATGTCTGCACATTTCGCGTTTTAGTCCAATATAACAAAAGGGAAGTACACTGTCATTGACCCGCACAGTCCCGAAGGAAAGAAGCAACTCAGAATCAAGTTCAAGGTACAGCATCGATTACTTGTTTAAGAATTTTTCCAGCTTTATGTTCATAATGCCATCAGTCATTGCCATCAATTAGGATGTTGCTGGTTGCTTTGAAGCCAAACAAGAAATCAGTGAATTCGTTGACTACCTCAAAAACCCGAATAAATATACGGTAAATAAGGCATAGAATCAACAGAGTTCAGGTGTCAATTTCGTTTCTAGAAATTGGGTGCGAAGCTACCCCGTGGTGCATTGCTCACCGGTCCTCCTGGATGTGGAAAGACTCTCATTGCGAAAGCTTTGGCAGCTGAATCGACAGCCCCATTCATCTCAATGAATGGGTCCGAGTTCGTGGAAGTCATTGGCGGTATGTGTGTTTTTTTACGAAAATGTTTTCAGAGTTTTTTTTTTCACTGCACTTGTACACGGCTTCGCAACGTTTCCTACTTGCATAATTATCAAGTTAAACTCGTGGTTACCTTCAGTTTAAATAATTTCCGAAGTGGGTAAAGCCTTAAGCTTAGTTTCTTAACCATACGCGCTTAGTTCACTTCGGCATGCAGAGTCCATGTGCGTCGCTATATACGCATACAACGTGTTTGATCTGACTTGAGATTTGCTGAAGAATGAGTTTAGGACTTGGTGCATCTCGCATTCGTGGGCTGTTTAAGGAAGCGCGCTCTAGAGCGCCATGTATAATCTACATCGATGAAATAGACGCCATAGGAAAGAAGAGAAGCGAATCAAAAGGAGGCGAATTCGGCGGTAAGAAGTTCACTCTTTGCTTTACTTTCTTGCATCAATATTTTAGCTTCTTCTTTTTTGCTGTTAGTGATGGCTTTTCGGCTGTCCAGCGTTCCTTTTCAGGTGGCTCAAATGAAGAAGAACAAACGCTGAATCAGCTTCTGGTTGAAATGGATGGAATGGGAAGTGGCCAGGGTATTGTTGTTCTTGCGAGCACGAATCGCCCGGATATTTTGGACAAAGTAAGTTTCATTTTCTGCCCATCTAAAAGTTTGATTTGAAATTTTATAGGCTTTACTGCGACCTGGTCGATTTGACCGTCACATAAATATAGATCTGCCTACAGTCATTGAGCGAAAAGAAATGTTCGATTTGTACCTGAAGAAGATCAAACTTGACCACCCTTACAACAAATTTTCTCATCGTCTAGCCCAGATGACGCCGGGTTTTACTGGTATGTGGAAACTCTGACTCTGTTGTGCAGATAATTGCCATGCCAATCTCAGTTTGCTTCTCTCATTTGCAGAATGAACCGTTTAACTCGAGTGATGGACAGTTAGTAAACCGTTGTAGTCTCTCTGCGATATGCCCAATTAATTGATCCAAGTTCTAGATAACCTTCTACCATGTGCCAATTAGAGCGCTTTTGCAAAACTCCGCTAGCATAAGAGCTATATTGCAAACTCAGTTCATCTCTTTGCTTGGCACTTCATCAATCTCCCCTCTAGTTGGCTCGTACTTTTTACAGGCGCTGATATTGCTAATGTCGTCAACGAAGCTGCTATACGAGCTGCCTCCACGGGAAAGCATGTAGTCTCTGTTAACGAGCTTGAGTACGCAATGGATCGGGTTCTAGCCGGTTTGTCTGCTTCCATCGTCAATTTTCAATACCTTCCTGGCTTACAGGTGCCGAAAAAAGATCACGCTCGTTAGTCGAAGAAGAGCGTGAAGTTGTAGCATATCATGAAGCTGGGCACGCACTGGTCGGGTGGTTATTGAAACACACTGATGCTTTGTTGAAGGTTTGCTTGAAAAAATTTGTTTCTCACATCAAGTAGATCGAATAGAAGGACAGTGTCCCAGATTTTTTTGAGTTCAGTTTGCTTATTTAAACTCCATCATTTGAACATTATTTGTGATGCCCTCATCGAATTATGAAATATTCTTGCGGCATGCTTGTTTATTTTTGACACGACTAGTCAGGTTTCAAACCCGCTTTGATGTGTTCGTTTTTTAGGTAACTATCATACCACGCACTTCTGCTGCTCTTGGTTTTGCCCAATATAGTCCAAGAGACCAGAAGTTGTTTACAAAAGAAGAAGTGAGTTGTCTGCCTGAACATTGAACATCAACTGAATACATCATTTGCAGCTGTTCGAGCGTATGTGTATGATGCTAGGTGGTCGCGCCGCCGAAAACATCAAATTCGGAAGAATCACGACTGGAGCTCAAGATGATCTCAAAAAGGTGAGACGCTGGGCTCTTTTGGCGGGTCTTCCACAAATCGCTCAGGTGACAGAATCAGCTTACAATCAAGTGAAACGGTATGGAATGAGCAAGGTGGTCGGTCCATTGTCGTTTCCTCCCAATGACGAATTGAAAATCAAGCCATTTAGCAAAAAGTTTGCCCATGTAATGGATCAGGTGGGAATATCAGATCTAAAATGGCTCCTCTGCAAGTCTGTGTATTATTCAGGAAGCATCAAGCTTGGTAGCTCAAGCGTATTACGCCACAGAAGACCTTTTGAGGAAAAACGCAGATAAGCTGGAAACGGTGGGTAGCTTGCAGCGTGTGACCTGATCTATTTGGTCTCGTTTTGTGCTGCCAAGCCTCACTATTCCTCTGATTTTCAGTTAGCTCAAGAGCTTCTGAAAAGAGAAGTGCTCAACTACGATGACGTCAAGATTCTCATAGGACCACCTCCACATGGCGACAAATACGTAGTAGAGTTAGTAGACAAGGTTCTCCCTAAGGAGGACAATGTTATGTAAAGTTGTTACAAATTGTATATATTTGGATAAATGTACAAATAAATCTTGATCTCTTGAAAACAATAGTGGGTGTATACAAGTTTCACAACCACCACTCTCTTGTAAATACGAGTAAGCCAGAATATACAAATCGTACATCTGATGTTGGGATCTTCAGGGGGTCGAGATCGCCGACTTCACGCTCTTATGAGAGCAGAATCGCTTGCATCATAGACATCATACATGAGCAGAGAATATTGCCCGCGCTTAGCTTGACTTCAAAGCGCGAGCGGCGGGAACCGCTCAGATAATCGCCGGGGGCAGGCGGTCCGCAAACTCGCGCTTTTCTGCAAGCGGTCAGCAGAATTTTGGGGCGTGGCCAAATCTTCAGCGAGCGGCACTTCCTTTACTGTCTAATGTTCTGCCAGCGGGCAGCAACGCAGGATTTTCTGCAGGCGCTCGGCAAATAATCACTTTCGGCGAGCGCTGGTCAAATTTTCAGCTGGCAGAACATTAGACAGTAAAGGTTAATGTTCTGCTCGGCGTATGCCCGAAACCGCTTATAAACCGTCCGCTGCTCGGACGGTTTATAAGCGGTTTCGGGCATACGCCGAGCAAAGGTGAGACTCTGCATAGCAGAGGTGTCATCGATGGTTTAATTACTCAAGTTTGAGGTACTTTCTCTCAGCGGAAAGTACCTGGGGGCTGCGCGGTCCTCCACAAAGGACCGTGCGGCCCTCGAAAATTTTGCATGTTCTCGCGGACTTTCCGCGAGAATGCGGCCGCTGCGCCGCAGCTAATCTATAAGGAAACCGCGTTTGTCCTCCGAGCGTTCATCCAAAATTTCGCTAAAATTTTTCCAAATATCTGCAAGCGGACCGCAGAAAATCAGCGAACTATTTTGCCGGTGCCCGCCCGCCCATAAATCGCATGGCCGCCTGCCCCCGGCGATTATCTGAGCGGGGGTGGTGCAGGAGGAACCAAAGGGCTGCCGCCTGTATCCGCAGGAGATAATTAAGAGAGCGAGCGCTGTGGAGAATATTTTGGCAGGGATCCAAGAAAACTCGGCAAGGACATCCTTTAGGAAGAAATCTTCATTCTCCTGGAGATGACTTTGAAAAATTTTAAAAACAGATTTGTAATGCAAATTGGAAGGCGCATTCATCGATCCTAAATATAAATGAAAATTTGGAATTGTAGTGGTAGTAAAAGTCAACTACCTTATAGAAACTTTTCTTTTGAATTTTGAAGTTTCAAGTTGTTGAAGTTCGGGGCCATTCAAAATTCATTCTTTCTTCTTCGAGATAAAAATTATTTTTCCTTTTGATTTAATGAAAAGCAATTAAAATGTCAAGAACACATCTGAAGGTTTGTGTCAAGATGCAATATGCAGTTTGTCTCACAGCTTCAAACCCATTCTAATTTTAAATTTTGACATTAGAGATTTCATAGGATTTGCCATTGAAATATGTCAGTAATCCTTTAGGTCGTACATAGTAGCAAAAGTTCATCACATGCAAATTATCTTTAGTTAACATTATTTCCTTATCACCACTTCATACTTTAAACTTCGTATCCAGAAATTTCACTAAAATTCAGTTGAAATTTTCACTCAACATTAAACTTGAAATTTCAGCTTAGAATGGTGAATTCTGAAGGCACAGTTTTTGGTAAAAATCGTTGCGAGACAGAGTTGTTCAACTATCCGGTAAGCGTATTATTGAAAAATGCGCATTTCAATACTGATTCCAAACCTGTCCTTCGTATCCTTGAAACTTGATTCCAAGGAGAGTTATAAGGGTTTGTTTTTAATGGATGTCCTCGCCAAGTTTTCCTGGATCCTTGCCAAAATCTTCTCCACAGCGCTCGCCCTCCTAATTATCTCCTACGGGTGTAGGCGGCAGGCCTTTGGTTCCTCCTGCACCGCATCCGCGGGAACCTTGGGTTCCAAGCGCCCTAAGCTTGTTATAGAGGACAGTGAGCGTGCACCCCTTCGGACGATTTCTATAGGCTTTTGAAGTCATTTTATTATAGTCGAAACATACTTTGCGATGTTGAATAAAACGTAACGAAAAAACGCTTCAACAGAAGTGAACGCCTATAGTCTCTCGCGACAACCTGTCGCTCATGCTAGTGTTTGAGGTATTGCGCAGGCAATTAGTTTTCACTTAATCTGTAGATGTGAGTGTATTATGTTACCCATAGAGACAGAGCTTGAAACGTGAAGTTTGTTTGAATTCCTACCCTCATGAAAAGTGGCTGGTTTTCACCGCCTACTCAAAGATGGCGAAAACAGAGAAAGTTCTTCTTTTATTGCGATAGTTCCCATCACGTTATGGAATCGGCAAGAAGAAGAATGAGTAAGAACAAAAATTATTTATAAGAACGAAAAGTTTAGTTCTTCAAAACATTATGCGGGTCAAAGCCAATCTATTATTCGTCCTTCATATTTTTGCTCCGCCGAGTTGTTTTTGTTTTTGGCGATGTTGCCTCCCTTGTTCTTGGTGTACCCATCATTTTGAAGTAGAATCCCCTTAACATGAATGAAGTAATTGCGAACTCACTCCGAAAAGAAACAGTTGAAAAACGCGCTTCTTGCAAAGTAAGAAAAAAGGAATACGGCAACGTTGTCAGCCAGAGGATATCAAAAGCTATAGGATGGTATACAGTTTGTTAGAATTGGAACTGTCTGAGACCCCATTCCGAATGATTTGGTAAGACTGCTTCTTTGCTGCTCAGAGTAAAAAAAATACCAAAGTATATGACCCGAGGGTATTGAGGCTTTGGGGTTGGGAAAGGTGTCCATTAAGTTTAACAGTCCTTGCCGTCAAGAATACAATTTTTACATGGTCATGACAGTCTCATATCTGGCATAAATGGTTGACTGTAAGAATACAATATATTGAAGGTTTATAATCAACAGTTGGTAGGCAAAAAATTCGATCACTATGTTAGAAGTCTTGTTACAATCCACATACCGAAAAGTGAAGGCGTATTCGTTATACATAGACCTAAAACACAAATGCAATGCCATGTACAAAATTTTGGCATATGCAAAACCTTATTGCCTTCGATTTTCACCAGCTACCCTAGCGATTGTTATTAGAGGCTGGGGCAATAACTCTAGTTCAAGAGTGTTTCTGACACTTTTTGTGTTATTTGGACTGATATGTTGAGTCGAAGTGACTTCAAAAGCTGGTAAAAGTACATTTAATCGAAATGCAGGCAATTCGATTTCACACAAACTATCGTAACATTTCGAAAGTGCGAACTTACTGCAAGGATGTAAACCACTAAGAAATTTTTGCGCAAATGGATTGTTGCTATAGTTTCTGCGAAGACACAATTCCGGATTATTCTCAATTTTCACAGCAGTTTTGAAATCACGTATAGAGAAGTCGATGTCAAACACTGCGTCCAAATCACGCAGGATTTGGTTATCTTCAATTACGAGAGCAGCTTTGCCAGGCCTTTGCACGATTCGTCGAAGATTCTTCAACTTTGGAAAACTTGTCCAGTTGCTACTTCTGAGCATCAGTGTTCCATAAAGGACTTCGACTGTAGTGTCTAGGTCTTCTTCTTTGATATCGATATCGTCGCTGACGTTTGTGCATGCAGAGGGTAGAGTTGGGGAGGCGGTGTAGGTACATGCTGAAATTGTCAAATGTGGGGGAGATCTGCTAGACTAAATGTCCAATTGAATGCGCTGAACCATTAGAGACTTACTAGTCTCAAAAGAGATTGTTGTGCATTGAGCTTAAATAACTAAAGACTAATCGAAAGCGGTTGCCCATTAATTTGAAGGCTAGTCCCGCCAAAAAGCGACTGTCCATAACTCAAACACTCACTTTGACTCTTTAGGAAGTAAATTAGGTATACGGCGATTCAGGGAAGAAGGAGGGTCGTATTTGGCGGTCGTGTACCACAGGTATAAAGTGTCATAGTTGGTTTTGAAAAGCCAGGAATTTGTGAATACACATATGGCATCGCTGTTGTCCAGTGCATGTTTATGCAGAGTTAGGCACAACTTCTCAATTATAAAATTCAGTTTTTGTTTCTAAGTTTTTATTCAGCCCTTTTCACTCAAAACCTATATTCATTTTGAGAAGCGACTGCAATAAGTGAAACCGCAGATGAAGATCTGCTTAAATGACAGAGGCGCCGACATCTACTGATCAGAATCAAACAGTTGATCAGTATTGGAAACGCTAACTGTGAAGTAAGCTTCGACGGCGTCCAAGATCAGTAAAGTCGCCTGCACGAAATCGCCCGGGTTGCTGTAGGCTGAACGCACGCGAGCGTGCCTGCAACGCGGCCGTCGCATACGGGCGCCATGATGACTCATGCGCACGAGTGCCAATGTTAGCGCGCAAGAGACACGCTCGCGGGCGCTCAGTCCGGGCGATTCCGTGCAGTCAATTATATCCACCACCTAATAATCTAGCTTAGGCTTTGACCAGATATCACCAGTGTTACCTGTTACCAGTACTATGCGCGTCACCCGCGTACCCGTATTACACGCATTGATAGTGGGATTGCATTTGAGGATTGGAGATCATTTCACTACTTAATAGCAATAAAAGCGGTACCAGTAACATGAATAATGGTGACACGAGTAACACTAATGACACGGGTAATATTGGTAATGTATGGTCAAAGCCTTAGATACATCTGCAGTCCAAGCAAGCATAATAGGATGTCTGAAATCAGTGCATTTGAATCAAGAGCTAGTCATTCATACGCATAATATCGCATAATTATGAAGAGAAGGATAGAGGAAGGAGGACGCAAGGGGAGTTTCTTTTTTTTCACCCTGACTTCCCAACTCCAGCCCCTCACATCTGTCCAGTATACTGCCAACAGGGAAAGAGCCGAAGCGGCTTTTCCAGTTGATGTCTGCCTTATCTGCAGAGCCCGTCTGGATGAGGAGCTATGACCGTTTTTATGACAAACTGAACGCCTGGCTAGAATGAAATCGATGCTAACAGTTTTTTTACCAACGGATGGACTAAAGGAGTATGGAAAGCAAGCAAAAAAATTTTTCATAATGTATTTACCAGTCAACATTATCCACCTAGGCAGACTTCTGTGAATGATTTTGTTCTATCAACGCGTTCATGTTTCTCACAAAAACTCTCATAGCTCTTTGTGCGAAGGCGCTCCGCAGATAAGAAAAAGATTTGGTATCAGCGTTCAATGCCCCAAAATTATATGCGTATCGTCTAGAAAGGTGCTTAGTCTCTTAAGCTCTTTCGCTTGTAAGTTTGGACTTGTAACTTACAATAGGGCATTTGCACTGAGTTAATAATCCGAGGTGGGCAGCGTTTTCTCTTACATTCTTCTAGCAGTTGCGTAGTATCTAGTAGAGGATTGTTACGGACATCAAGTAGTATTCGTCTACCGTTCTCAATTTCAAAATGTGGTATTCTTTCCAACAGGGGGTTTTCGACCAGTATAAGCTCGGCATCTAAACCAGTTAGTTAACCAGCTGTGTGTGTTAGTTCAAAAGTTTACCTTTCACTAACTTCACTATAGACATGTTTGAGATTTGCGTTAACTGCGAATTGGCCAGACGAAACTTATAATATGTGCTTGCCATTTTTATTGACTAGAAGGAACATCTTCTTGTTGCGAAAACTTCTTTTCAACAATTTGATTACATCGTAGAAGTTGGGCTCGTTGGAAATACCGTTCATAGCATCCAGTATGAGATGTGTGCATTCAATAGTGGAATAAATATCTCTGCCACGTTCGATCTTACAGAATCGCGAAGCATCTGAAGTGCAAAATGCAGAGCTGCAAATGAAATTGAAAGGAGCGCACTAGATAATAATATATAGGGTAATATAAGCTGCAGCCGCATGGGAGCACTAAACCTATGAAATGGTTCTGCCCTATGATTGTAGAAACTAAGTGCTCATTTCATTTGATAATTATCATCTTTTGTACTATATAATAGGGAGTAAAGTGCAATAAGTGGAGTTATAGCTACATGCTGTAAAATTTTCCAATCACTTGTCTTGGATATCTTAGGATCGACAGATTATACATAATTGTAGAACATATTAGGTCGTTCCGAAAAGTTTTTTCGTTTTTTCAACCTACCATAAAAACACGTGGAATGAAGATAGGGAAATGCTTTAGACGCTGTCCGATGCATCTTTTCTTCCTCTTTTCAACTGTCATATTTATCTGCCGCTAGCTCTTGTGGTCAGTGAGATAATGGCCGAAATTTCGAACCCATGGTTTTTACCATGTCCAATTTTGACAATTTTTCACAATTTCCTTTTTTGACTTCTGGAGAAGCTTCAATAGCAGTCGGATAGAACAAACAAAGTGCAATTTAATTGAATTTTTTGGCATCTATAGCCAGCCTTAAAATTTTTTTAGAATTATTTTACTGATGCTATCAAATTCCACTTTTGGTGATGCTAAGAATCATAGAACATAAAACGGCGCACAACTAAGTGTCATTCGATGCAGCTTTTCTTCCTCTTTCTATTGAGTATTTTTCTTTCCAATTTGAGGGAGTTTTTGGGATAAAATTTCCATAATTCTTGATTTTGAACCTGTCTAAGGGTGTACACGTAAAATGCGAAATCTTATATTTCAGAGCGGTAAACACTCAGTTACTTTGTAAAAATAGTGGACAATCATAAACGACTTTTGTTAGTGTCAAAATCCGAAGCTTTGCTAATTCTCGGAGCGTTTGTGTGTTTTGTGACTTCGAAAAAGTGAAGACTTCTGGAAAAGGTGTCTCAAAAAATACTGAGAAGCCAGTTGAAAATGCCAAAAGATTCCATTAAATTGCACTTTGTTTACTCTATCCGACTGCTATTAAAGCTTCTCCAAAAGTCAAAAAAGAAAGTTGTGAAAAATTGCCAAAGTTGGACATGGTAAAAACCATGGGTTTGAAATTTCGGCCATTATCTCACTGACCACAAGAGCAAGCGACATGGGAATATGATTGCTAGAAAGAGGAAGAAAAGTTGCATCGGATAGCACTTGAAGCGTTTCTTTACCCTGATTCCACGTGTTTTTATGATAGGTTGAAAAAAACGGAAAGAACTTTCGGAACGACCTAATATTATGCATAAATGTAGACACCATAGAATAGTTAAAAAGACATTTTCCAATACGACACATTGATTTTTCAAATTTAGAAAAATTGCAGGTTTATCAAGCTGACGACTAGTACTCGATTGAAGTAAGATGCGAAATTTGGGATACTTGTGTAAGGGTAGAAACTAAGTTGTGCACGTTTATTCCCCTGCGACTTACAGTTCAAGAAATTTCCCATAACTCCGAAACCAGACTCGTTCTGCCTCTAAAGAAGGCTGTTTTGGGATCAGGGTGCTAAGCTGCTTTAGATAATGCCTATCTCATATCAAAAGGCCGCTGCGACTTCTTACACTTCCCTTTTAGTTTTCGTAATATCGCACCATCACGCAAAGATTTCTTTCCGGCAAATTGTTATACTGGACCGCATTGTTAGCATTTAACATCAATAAATTTTCATCTAGTTCATAGTTTCTGCAGATCGGCCAGTGATTTGAGAGTGCAATTTTAGAGTATGCCACTTCGTTAGCTAATAATTTATACAACAATCACAGTTTGCTATGATAGGTCCGTTTTGGATTATTTTCAAACCTGCGAGAAAAGAAAGAATGAGCAGTAATGCCAAAGTCTAAATTGCATGGCTTAAGTTCCTTTACTTATTTCCTTTTCAAAATTCAATATCTATATAATCGTAGATTTCCAAACAGAGTACGACACGTTTTACTGCATGCTTTTATTACATTCAATAAATGTTCGGAAATCTACGAATATAGATATGAGAGAGGATTGTATAATTCTTTGAACTCTGTATAGCATTTAGCACTCTTCAGGAATTTCAGCCTTTTCAGAATACCGATTCATTTATTTATCTTACTAGCTGGCTTACCCGGCTCCGCCGTATCCGGGCCAAACTTGGCACACATACACTTCGGGCCCCGGCGGGTGTCACAGTCCACTTTTCGTTACCGATCGATGTCGATTTTACCGATTTTTATCGATTTTTTTGCAGAGTTCACATACAGGGCTAGGAGCTGGCACAGGGGGGGAAGTGAGCATGGGGATTCCGAATACAATATTAGTTTTCGGAATTATCGATTACTTTTATTGATTTTATCGATTTTTTGTAAATTTTGACATGCGAGGCTGGGATTTTGCACAGGGGGGTAATCGAGCATGCTGATCACCCCCCTTGGGGGTGATCAGCATGCTCGATTACCCCCCTGTGCCAACTCCCAGCCCCCTAGCTCAAACTTTGCAAAAAAATCGATAAAATCGATAAAAGTAATCGATAATCCCGAAAACCATTATTGTATTCGGAATCCCCATGCTCGATTACCCCCCTGTGCGAACTCCCAGCCCCGTAGCTCAAACTTTGCAAAAAAATCGATAAAATCGATAAAAGTAATCGATAATCCTGAAAACCAATATTGTATTCGGAATCCCCATGCTCGATTACCCCCCTGTGCCAACTCCCAGCCCCGTAGCTCAAACTTTGCGAAAAAATCGATAAAATCGATAAAAGTAATCGATAATCCTGAAAACCAATATTGTATTCGGAATCACCATGCTCGATTACCCCCCTGTGCCAACTCCCAGCCCCGTAGGTGAACTCAGCAAAAAAATCGATAAAAATCGATAAAATCGATATCGATCGATGACGAAAAGTAGCCTATGACACCCGCCGGGGCCCGTAGTGTATGTGTGCCAAGTTTGGTCCGGATCGGTTCAGAAATGGAATTTTCTATTCGGAACATACGTACACACAGACATACAGACAGACAGACATACAGACATACAGACAAACAGACATTCAGCTTTATATATAAGACTAGCGACCCTACGGGTCGCTAGTAAGTGGGTGGGGGCAAATAATCAATCAGAGCAGACACTTTACATGGCTAAGAAATAGTGAGCAATTTAGGATCAGACAAAACAACATACGCTTTAGAAAAATAAAAATCTTGATATAACGACCAGTTCAAGCGAATCTGACTCGTAACAATGCATGTGCAATAGTTTACATGAATGTAACAGCAAAATGAAGTCATACTTACAGCTACTCATTTAAAACATCATTTTTGAATAAATATAAAAAGCTCGAAACTTTATAGTCTTAAAATGCTTTGAAATCAGATCTTCAGTGTACTATTCGCTCAAAATTACCCTGTGTACTATTAATATCTTGATTAGCGCAGATATATGTTAGATGCTTACATGAAAATCGCAAAACAGTTGATAACAAATATCTTTGATCAATTCACGTAATACTCTCGCCCACTTGAATTACCTTGCTGTTGGTCAAATCGACGAGCTGGCCAACAAAGAAGCTTTTGTTTAAGTACCGAAGACCGCTGAAGGAAGCTTGTGAATAGCTGTAATGTCTTCAATGGTTATCACTCAGTAACACCACCCGATAACCTTAATTTGGTGAAAAACCAAGCAGCACGGCAAGCGACTTCAACCCGCCAAAACGCTACATTAACGGTCGATACGAATTTGAATATGCGTAAAAACATACGATTACCACAAAAAACCAACTTTGAAGAAACAGTTCTGTGTTTATTTTATAAGTGTCTACTTCATATTCCATGATGTGGTATATTTCTAGAGCAATAAATACTAACTGTGTTAAAGTGTTAACACATAAAAATTTTCATCAATTGGTAACAGTTACAAACACAGACAATGTTTTGATAACCGCCGGCGGCGGCACTTCTATGAGGAGTGCGCTAATATGCAAATTATTAGCTGAAATTTGGATATAATACCAACACCAAAATATAAAAATACTTCTTCATAGATACTGTAAGCGAGGCGTCGCCAACCATTTTCAAAAACGAGAAAAATACAAAAGATAAAGAAGAATTTACAGCTGACAAAGTGTCTTGGAAGTAGATTGGAAACAATATCTGAATGCATAAAATAAACGGATATATGATGAGTAGCAGTAGTGAAGAAACAAGCTTAACACTACTTCAAAAATGTAAATGCTAAAAGATTCGTAGCTTTGATGATAAAAAATCATTGAAATTGAGTGAACATACATATCAACGGAATTTTCTTAGTGTCATAGACACGTAAATAATGAGTTATGAAGCAATTTATGAAGCAAACCCGGAAAAAAAGTTGAACGAATGCTAACAATTGAGTGTTATGGTCAGCGTCCATGAAGCATTGTAGAGCAATACGTAGGTGTTTCTTCTGACGTGCTGATAAGGCGAACATGTTGAAATCTAAGCACCACACATCGATTCCAACTATTCTGAAGCAATAATACGATATTATAAGTAAAAAATCCATAAAGAATTGTGCTCACCTGAAATACTTGCCACATAAGTTAGAGTTTACTGAGGATGGTTTGAATGGTTTACAAATTCTTCAACTCATCAAATTTATTCTATCATCAAGGTAACTCTGAAATTGAGAAAGTTGTAGAATCAATAACAATGTAAAATTGTTTGAGTTACCTTTATATGCTCCTTTATTATTATTATACAGTTTTTCCATATTCGATCGCATGTTAAACAAGTAGATAAAATATCTCAAAAATAAAGTAAGCCGGCTGACAAGATGTCATTGTAAAAACATACACCTCCAATATGTGCTAGTTTCGTAGAATTAATGGTTCACTGAAAAACATTTCTTGTCAAATAAAAGTTCAATATCAAAAAACGTACGTAGCTTTTTCAAAAGTGAGTTTATGTATGCATGAAGTAGCTTTGGAATTGAAGGATATCACAAGAATTTTCCAAACCTCGGCTCGTTCTTGTATTTCAAAGTAAATAAGTCTGGTTTTATGGTTCCCAATTATTCATATCTGTATATTCAAAACGAATTAAAACTTCAAGACTGAAAAAAACTTCAACTTGTGCAATCCAAGCAGATGATATGCATTACCTCATATAAAATTTGTCTTCTAACAACCAAATAACTCAATCCAGTGTCCTAGTCACGAATTATTCTAAATGAAACATTATGTAACCGTAGTTCAATACTTTCTAAACCTACCTGAGCTGGTTTATATTTCGGTAATGTAATATGAAATGTCGCTTTTAATAGGAAATGCATGCCATGATAACAATTTGTTGATGAATTCTCTGGAGCAAAACGGAAATTTTCCAGGCTTTGAAAACTAAGAAAGTAGACTCAATACATGATTATTTTGGATTTGTTTTTTGCAGTTTACGAAATCTCGTGAGATGAGAACTCAAAAATTGATGTCTTTCTATTTTGAACTAAAAAAGTTTGAAAACTTTTCGAAGAATTGAGCAGTTAAATAGACTGTTCAAATCTGCTTTCTAATTCTTTATCTTCACATACTTGTTTTATGTAGAAACGCGAAATAAGCTCAATACTTGCCAGTTGGAGAGGTTATCTCGTATTCCTCAGTATTCAGAAAAAATCATTCGACTGCCTTGGGTAGACAATTGATAAACTTGCTAAACTTTAAAATTTAAATAAAACTAACACTACGTTTCTGTTAAGGCGATCGGCTCACTTACTATGTCTGTTGGGGTCGGATCGTAATGACCTTGTTCTTGTTGTCCTAGTAGTGTTGTCCTTGTCCTACATATAATGTCGTAAATTGAAACATTGGAAATAGAAAAGCATCCTAAACTTAGTATGTTTTTTCTGAAATTTAACCAAAGTACCAAAGCATCAAAGACAATTTTATTTTCAAATAAATTTGGGAAAAAATATTTGAGTGGCAAAACATTTCTAGCAAACGTCTTTTATCCCAACCAAGTATGTAGGTGAATATTTTAAAAAGTATAACTTACAACATTTTCCTTTTTAACTATCCAAAACCAACTACTGCTCCAAAAAGTAAAATTATTCACTTGCAGATATTTTTTTCAAAGGTAGATTAATGTAATCAAATATTACAAATATTAACACACTTACCAATAGGTTTTGTTACTGTTAACATGTACAGCAGTTATTATTAATCAGTAGTTAATCATCTAGTACAGCAAAGCTTTTGCATAGGATAGAATTGAAGTCGAAGTAATATTGTACATTATGATAAACGATATAGTGCAGCATGCTAGTCTTATTGCCAAGGTTATGACCAATCTGGATTCACAGATTTAAACAAGTAAATTTTCAGCAAAGTAGACAAAAATCTTAGTTAACTTACTTACAATATTGTTTTCACAGACATCATCAGACGAAAAACATCACGCCATTAGTGTAATTCAGAAATAAATAGCTGAGCTTGTCAGAATGTATCACAGATCAAACATCTCTTCATACACGACATTACGGATCTTAGGTGTGAGGGGAACTGAGTCTGTCCAATTCCTTGTAATTCTGATGCCATCTCTGCTTGTACAGCGTGACAACGCCACATACGTGCTACCATGTGCAAATGAAGGGGTGCGTAAAATAATGCCCAACTTGTCGAAGGTTTGCCCTTGACTTTTGTTTATGGTCATGCAGAACGACAATCGAATTGGAAACTGTACGCGACGAAAGGATACGCCAGTCTTTTCATTTGTATAGTCAAGATCCATTCTATGAATGAAAGCATTCTGCCCATTGATTAAATTCACGCAACGCAGAAGTTTTTCAGACATAATCGAAACGACAATAAGTCTTGTACCATTGCACAACTGCGAAGAGACATCTATATTTCTGAGTAGCATTATTATTGACCCTTCTTTAATTCGTAGAATATATGGTGGCAAGGAAGCTGGCATGAGCGTATGAAAATATTCTTCATTGTCACAAGGAAGACCATTGAATCCATCTTCCTCTATGGTTGGTATATCAATTCCAATAAAATCGATAGCGGTTCCTGGTAACCTATTCAAAACTTTGATGTTCAGTGCTTCAGCATCACAATTGCGTACTGTTAACAAGGCTGCTCGAGAAAGTTTCTGTAAATCGTTCATAAGCTCAGGCGTATAAATCCAATCGATAACTTCATTTTCAGAAGTTAAACACATGGAAGGAGGTAACAGGATGTTGTCATCATCATCAAAATTTCTTCCAGCTCCAACTAAAAGAAGCCAGCGTGCGAAGTCTTGCTCCTCTTCGCTCACCCTCAAGTTTGCGTCGAGGATAAAAGTGATAAAATGGCTCCAAAGATCGCTGCTTCTGCATGTAGAATCTATGGTTTCCTGTCGTGTACCGCCCTGTATAACGGGCTCGGACCTGCTCCGTTCTCATGCTAATAGTGCAAGCAATCTTCCATACAAAAATTTTGACATGTTTGGTTTTGCCGAGCCACTGCCTTTAAGCGAGACTTCTGTGCTTTTTTGAAAGATAGGAAGAAAAACTTAGGTTCTAACATATTCAAAAGTATCTATGTTGTACACGGTACACATAATTACTGAAACTACGGTCTTCCTCATTGAAACCGAAGCAAAGAAAAGTTGCGACGTCGCACGCGTCGTTCGCGTGGCCGCGCTCCGTTGCAACTGTTGTTTGATTTGTCTTCGTATCTCCTAAACAAATATAGGCGGCATGGCTGTACAGACTCAGTTGAAAAGTAAAAGCTTAAGCCTTCGACTTGATGACCTTGGACTAAAAGAAAACCTCCTCTAAACGTCAAAGGATCCATCAAAGCAGCGTGCTACAACATGTGCAGCACCGGTCCGAAACGTGTTAAACACCTAGTACGGAAATAAACGTGCAAAAACAAAATAACTTACCGCGGCATCTTCACCAGTTCGCGTTCTGACTTTTTTCAACTCTTCTTTAGAAGTACACACACCACAAATACGCCAATTACCCATATATGGTGTTAACATGCTGATAGGCGTAACGCTAACATCAGCTGAGTTCAGCTGGAGCATTTTTGAAGATGTAGCATTGTGGGAAGTAGATGCTAAAAGCAACATCATAATTTGGAAAAATGGGCAACAAACCACTTACAAGCAGCCACATTATCCATGATACAAGGATTCCAATCCACATGGTACGAATTTACGGGTGAAAAGTTCGCGAAAGTATTCTGCAAAAAAAATTGCATAAGCAAAATCACATACTAAACATACATCATTTTTCTAATTATCAAAGTAACTGACCAATCAGCGCACAAAACTTGCATCACGGAAAAAAATATTCCCTAGCAATTAGTAGGTATGATCGAAGCGCATCAAACACACCAAAAGCAGCGTCCAGGCAGCCGTTAAAGCACTACCTGAGCTGCCACTTCGGTAGTGGCTTAGTTAAAGGCACCGTCCACCCAAATTGGGGTTGGTGAGATTATGATACCTAGCAGATGTGGGGCCCCCAACTGTACGATTGCCCAACTCGTGCTGCCTGAAGTTGCTTCCGAACCGAGAAAAATGCTTCGGAAATCGCTTCAGGCCGCGTTCGCGACGCTGGCTCCTCCCCTTTTGAAGTGGGCGTGACGTTTGTCCCGCCCATCCGTGCGCGCCCAACCAATCACCGTGCCGAAGAAATCGCTCTGCGGGTTCTGGAAAAGGGAGTTTTTCATGGTTTACGCGGATTTTCAACTCAATATTCGGAATCAGGGGTATGAGAAGGCCCAGGAACGGCAAAAACATAGAAGTCGAAATTTTGGGTGGACAGTGCCTTTAAAGCCCCAAAAGTACTTTCCACGTTAAATTTCCAAAGGTCCAGACTTGCCTGGACGCTGTCTTTAATAATCCTTGGAAAAGGAAATCAGCTCATTCTACGAACCGTATGCGAGCGCAACCACCGAACATCACTAAGTATTAGTTCCCGTGAACTTGCCCACACCTCGCGATCAACCGCCTTACGAAGAATACTTTAAATAGTAAAAAATGATAGGTCTATTTAATTTTTTGGTGTGCATCACCTTGTTTCCATCATGGCTCACTCCCAAAGATAATATAGGATGCCCTCTGGAGAGCAATTCGTAACCATTAATTATAAGCATTGGCGAACTAAACAGATAATACAAAAATAATCAAAACAATAATTTCACCCACCCAGAATTTTCGTCATTTTTTTTACCAATCATACAATGAAGATTCATGTGAACTTTAGTTACTGCAATTATTTCACCACCATTCTCTGCATTCCTAAGCAGATTATCGCGGATACACTGCTCTTCCAAATGATTAGCAAGAAACAGTCCTGAAAATTATTTACAAAAACATTAACAAACAACATCGTTAGAGCTTCAAGGACCAATAATAAAAAAACAAAATTCTGATTATAACGTTTCCTAAACCCCAATTTTTCACAAAAGTTGCAACCCATGAGCATGAATAGTGAAATTGGCAAACAATCATACAACCGGCGCAAGATCAAAAGTGGTAGATACATGTATGAAAATGTAGAAAGCTCTTACCTGAATAATAAAAAGTTCCGTCACTCAATCTTATTCGAAAAGACGAATGCGGATAACCGATAGAACCTTCAACCACTTTTTTGACAAGCTGAACAGATCACTTATATGCTAATCAAGCAAGCAGCCTCAATATAATACCGAAACTTGTAGAATAGGGACTTCTGCTTCAACACCATCACTTTCAAAATATCGCTGCAAATGCAAAGCATCAGTAATGCAAACAATTGCATAATCAACTATACCGTCACAACAAAAAAAACACCTGGAAAAATCCATTGGACAGCTGCAGCTTTCCATCAATAGCATATTTGCGATACTGATTCGGGGAAATTACTATATCCATTCCAAAAGCAAGCCAAAAAACATGATAATGAAGCAAAATCAAAGCCAATTCCAAATACAACGTAGATGTCAAAGACTTTTGAGAAAACAAATCAGAAGTTTGAGAATCTTAAGAGCCAAAACTTCACAGCGCTTCAATAACCTTTTCAATGACTTCAAACACATTTTATGCTAAAAATCCATGCTCACTTTGGACGTCGCAGTGACAAAAAAAAGTTAGCAAGCGAGTGACTTCAAAAAAAAAGACACAAAATTTGAACCTTGTAAAGTACCGAACCAAAAACGTTTGTAAAATGCATCATGATTGGGCATATAGCTATTTGAAAATGAACCCTAAAACCTAGAAATAACTAAATACTTGATGGATAACTCAACCGATTCTGCAACATCTAGCTCGCTATCAATCAATCAGAATCAATCAAAATCAGGTAATTGGGCTGATAAAGTTCACAGATTTTTTCCCTTTATAGACAACATTTTTACCAGAACACATATATGCAGTGACAAATACAGCGAAAATACGCAGAATTTAATCTACAACAAAGACAGAGAACCACAATAAAATCACTTCCACAACAATACCACTATGAACAACTGATAATTTCTATCGTTTCAGCAACAACCACCAAACATCGTTTAAAGTACATCAGCGATAAAAAACAAAAATAAAAACAAAATATCACTGAAAAGAACTATGAAATATGCAATAATGCACATCCTCAATTTTACATCATTGTTTAGCAAAAGCTTAAGAGCATTCAGTAACACAATTACTAACGGCTCAGACAAGCAAAATGTTTATCATCTATCGTATGGTAAAGGTGCCCCTCACTGACCAAGACATTCAATTCATGACGCAATACATCCTTGCTAGTGCCTTTTAGTGCCTACACACATAAAATTATGGCTCGCAACCACAAAAACATTTCCCTCATCATTACCTCCTGAATGAATTCTTCAGATAAACCAACAGAAACATCGTGGTTGCATTCCTCCGATTGAAAGAGATCAATGATCTGAAATTATCCTCATCTAAAAACTGATTAGCAAAGCTGATATACAAACATACTTTCTTACGCGGCGTTGTTCCATGGTCTTTAAGAACATTGGATGCTTCTGGCGCATAAAACGCGAGAGTGCCATACGCCGGTGAAGCCTTTACAGAACCTTATGAACTGCTGTGATACGTCTAATAAATATCACTTACAGCGACACGAGACATTAATACGAAATCAGCGGGAGGACCAGCAGCACCCCAACATCCCGGCTTAAACCCGCCAGAACGCAATATTAACGGTACATTCTCAAAGCCATTATATAAATATAAACGTTGAAAACATTCAGCTATAAAAAAACCAACTTTACAAAAATACAGTTGTGCGATTTTGGCTTCATGAATGAACACTTCATATTCCATGATATCGCATATTTCTCGGGCAATAAATGACAACACACCTAAACATGTATAGATGCTAAAAAAACAATTAATGAAACCTAAAGCAGACCACATTTGCGATCAATACAACGCAGCAAGCCGACAACAAACAATTTCACTCCTTTTGCAAAAATGACTCGACCACACTCCACATTCGCGCCCTCGGGAACCTAATTTGAACATTTGAAAACCAAGATACTATATCTAAAGTAAAACTAACTGAAGTGTATGTAAACACTTCAAATTCTTTATCCATGTTTTCCGGATCCGCCAAAACGTGAATGGTCAAATTTTCCCTGATGATTACGGCTGTAACAATTCCAACGGTCAGAACCTGAAGTGTAAACTAAACGCTATGCTATGGATATAAATGCGAAAACCAACTGTGCTAAAATGATAATCCCCATGCGAAAACTTCTCATCAATGCCTGCATAGTGCTCCAAATCAGCTACAGTTACAGGTACAGGCAACGTTTCGACAGCCGCCGACAGCGGAACTTCTACGGGAAGTGCGCTGGTTTGTAAGTTATCAGTTGAAATCCCCGCCATGATACTAAACATAGTTTTTAAGACAAAGAATTTCCGGAAACTTTGATACGGAGAGATACGACAAAAGAAAAACAAATAGAGATAGGAAAAAATAAAATAGATACTCAAACTATAGTACTTCAAAAATGCTCCACCAAATGCAGCAAAATGAAGAAACAATTAAAAAAGTTGCATAACATTCTTTTCTGAATACGAAACAGCATAAACAGCTGAACAGAAACAAGTTCTTTAGCCGCGAAAAAGGTGATGAAATAAGTAACGCCGGAATTGTATCAACTCCAAAGCGAAACACCCTCAATTATCGCAATAAGAATGGAGGATAATCATTATTGGACGAGATGATAACGTGTCGAAATATACAATAACAAAATGGAAAATCGAAGAAACGAGCAAGACACCACTCAACTAACAGTTTTCAACCTGGAAACCGTGCCAGCCGTCTCAAAAGCATGTCGAAATAAACAATGATGACGGCATGAAAAATCGAAAGGGCTACAGACCAACCAGCAAAAACAATTTCCATAGTGATAAACAACACACACGAACGCTCACGAACCATAAAACACCATCGAGAACCTACAGACAGCATCAACAACACGCAAGCATGCTTATCTACCAACGTACAGACAAGTACACCATTCGGGTTTATATTAATAGAAGGATAAGATATATAAAGCTGAATGTCTGTTTGTATGTCTGTCTGTCTGTATGTCTGTACGTATGTTCCGAATAGAAAATTCCATTTCTGAACCGATCCGGACCAAACTTGGCACACATACACTACGGGCCCCGGCGGGTGTCATAGGCTACTTTTCGTCATCGATCGACATCGATTTTATCGATTTTTATCGATTTTTTTGCTGAGTTCACCTACGGGGCTGGGAGTTGGCACAGGGGGGTAATCGAGCATGGGGATTCCGAATACAATATTGGTTTTCAGGATTATCGATTACTTTTATCGATTTTATCGATTTTTTGCAAAGTTTGAGGTACGGGGCTGGGAGTTCGCACAGGGGGGGTAATCGAGCATGGGGATTCCGAATACAATATTGGTTTTCGGGATTATCGATTACTTTTATCGATTTTATCGATTTTTTTGCAAAGTTTGAGCTAGGGGGCTGGGAGTTGGCACAGGGGGGTAATCGAGCATGCTGATCATCCCCAAGGGGGGGTGATCAGCATGCTCGATTACCCCCCTGTGCCAACTCCCAGCCCCCTAGCTCAAATTTTCAAAAAATCGATAAAATCGATAAAAGTAATGGACGATCTTGAAAACTAATATTGTATTCGTAATCTGCATGCTCGATTACCCCCCCCCCTGTGCAAAATCCCAGCCTCGCATGTCAAAATTTACAAAAAATCGATAAAATCAATAAAAGTAATCGATAATTCTGAAAACTAATATTGTATTCGGAATCCCCATGCTCACTTCCCCCTGTGCCAACTCCTAGCCCTGTAGGTGAACTCTGCAAAGAAAACGATAAAAATCGGTAAAATCGACATCGATCGGTAACGAAAAGTGGACTGTGACACCCGCCGGGGCCCGAAGTGTATGTGTGCCAAGTTTGGTCCGGATACGGCGGAGCCGGGTAAGCCAGCTAGTTTATTTATAAGTACACAACGAGGTGCATCAAAGAAATAAATCAGAAAAAAAAGTTCAAACAGCGCACGAGGCCAACCACTCCTCAGCCTCAAGGAAAACAAAACTGAATGGTAGATAAACAGGGACTCGAAGCTCCAGACACAATGATAAAAAGAAGAAACATGGTACGTCTAACAAGCATATTCCACATTAAATTCATAAATTATATTAGGTTGTCCGGAAATTAATGCCCGTTTTGAATTTTAACCGCAATAAGTCATACACTCTTCACTTCTAAATAGATAGCAAAGTACCATTCGATAGAGCAAAGCAAGCTCTACAAGATGGCCCTCTTGCTTTTGCAACAGCTCCTATCCATCTCGAGTTTCGAGCCAAAAACTAAAAAGACTCAGCAGCCCGAAAAATCGAAAAAAATCGTAACTCATTTCATAAAAATTCTACAAAAATTCTAATTTGCTCGCGTAAACACTATCCACATAAGACATCAATATAGGCCGTTGCTGTATTTTTTTCTCTGTTAGAAACCAAGAAAACGGAAATTTTCGTGCATTTGCCAAAGTGATGCTGTGCCGTCCCCATATAGGTAATTGTATACCACAAGCCTGTGGAAGTACAGACTTAAATTTTCAGCTCTCTACAAGCTTTAGTTCTCGAGAAATTTGAATTTTAGCTTGGACCACTTAACTAAGGAAAGCTATATTCGGTATTTCTCGGGAACTAAAGCTTGTAGAGAGCTGGAAATTTAAGTCTGTACTTCTACAGACTTGCGGTATACAACTACCTATGTGGGGAAGGCACAGCATCACTTTGGCAAATGCACGAAAATTTCCGTTTCCTTGGTTTCTAACACAGAAAAAAATACGGCAACGGCATATATTGATGTCTTATGTGGATAGTGTTTACGCGAGCAAATTAGAATTTTTGTAGGATTTTTATGAACTGAGTTACGATTTTTTTCGATTTTTCGGACTGGTGAGTCCCTTTAGTTTTTGGCTCGAAACTCGAGATGGATGAAAGCTGTTGCAAAAGCAAGACGGCCATCTTGTAGAGCTTGCTTTGCTCTATCGAACGGCACTTTGCAACCCACTTAGAGGTGAGAAGTATATGACTTAGCGCGGTTGAGATTTGAAACGGGCATTAATTTCCGGACAACCTAATAGTTGAGCTGACATAGTGGGTAGTGATTTTCATAAGTGCATCAGCCTGTTGGAGCGAGAATAAAAATGGAAAGAAGTCCGATTAGCCAGTGCCTAGCGAACGCGAAGGCCTATAATCTAGATGACGACAGAACTTTCGTTCAAACCTATTCAGTTTTCAGATAGCAAAACCACTCCTGTCGCTGACGTCTGTTTGGGTCTTATCACCACGTTCACGCCTGATTTTCACCTCTTCCACGAATGCAAACCATCCTCTTCGCACTGGCACTGCCTTTAGCTTTGGCTTCGCCTGAACAAGTGCATCTATCCTTTCAAGGCAATCATTCTGTAATGGGAGTGTCATGGATGACATTCAAGAAAGGTCAGTTTTAAAGAATGCCTCGGAATGATTTAGAGGTCTCACTATTTCTGTTTTTTATAGGTCACCCCCCTACTGAAGGCAGATGTGTGAATTTTTTAGAAGTTTTCTTGATTAGATTTGTTCTAGATGACTCCGATGTATTGTATGGCACAACGCTGACCAATTTGGAATGTACAGCAAAAGGGACAAAGAAAGAATGGCGTACTGGCGATATCACTCGATACTCACATAGGGCATTAATGCAGAATTTGCGTCCTTCAACTACTTATTGTAGGTTTTTTTTGATCGGTCGTGAAATTTTACCAGCAAAGTAACACAAATTAGTATATGCATATGTTGAAGGTTGATCTCTGTCCAGCATTCGATATGCCACTCAGAATTGAGGTTCAAAGGACCGGGCATACTTCACGTGATTTCAGTCGCGACGCGATTTGGCAATATTCCAACTATTCATAACTCACTGTAAGCACATTTCAAATGTACAGGAGATAGGGCATTTTATCAATCCACACAAGTTATACAAAACTATGCATATGCAGCTTGCTAATACTGCATCTGAAGGCTTTTGGCGAATTGCCAAATCGCGTCGCTACTGAAATCGCGTGAAGTATGACCGGCCGTTAACGCAATGAAAATTAATTCAAAAGAAATGTGGGCAGAAATTTCCTAGAGGAGCTAATACAATTTGTGTTGCTCTGATCAGAGACAGATGACACAGAAATAACATGTAATTCTGCAACTGTTTGCTTTACCTATATTTGGATACATTCGTTTCGATAACGTTAAAATACTATTACAATTATTAACGCTATTACTGCACTCTAGGGTACAAGATCGGATCCCGGACATTCCAGTTCAAGACACTCCCGGAAAACCCCACTTCATACCGGGTACGCTCACCATTGACATGAGTATTAACCATTGAACTTCCTGAAAGTCCTGTTTGTAACAGACACTAAACTAACACCGTTTCTTTGTTAAGCACTGATAAGCAAGTGTTTTATCGAAGGTTATTTACTCTTTTTCGCTAATTCGACTTACTTATATTGCAAAATGTGCCTTTGCAGCATCAAAAGGAAAAGCTATCTGTCTAAGTAAGCTTTTCTGCAGCGTTTGCTGAGCAGTATAGATTTTGAATATTTCTACTAGTGTAAGACAACATGGTATGCTTCTAATTATAACCAAGATCTATTTAGGTCTGCATATTCGGTGATCTTGGACGAAAACATGGCAACTCCACAACGAGCATTTTACGCAACGGAATGACCGGAATGTTTGATTTTATCATCCATGTTGGTACGTTTTTTCCTAGGAGTGGACGCCAAATATCAGATAAGAATAACGAAAAAAATTTGAAATGCATTCTGGAACATTGCTTCCCCTCGCTTATAACCAATTTCTATGAAATCTTCGACCATTTCAAATGAATAGAGAAAATTGGCCATGGATTTTCCATACAAGCTTTTGCGAACGACCATGTAACCATCTTATAAAGCAATGCTTGAGCTTTGCATTTCAATTGAATTTTATGAATTGTCTTTGAAATTTCAGAAATGTTTAGACAGAATCTTGATTTCTGTCGAACTTGACCTTTACGCGCTGAGATTAGATGGTTTTCAGCACCTACAGTGCGAAAAAACAAAAAACCTTAGGTGTTGCAATTTACGAAATTCCAATTTTTCTAGGAAGAGTGAGACGAAAAAATAGCCAAAAAATCGGGATAATTGCGCTTCAATGCACAAAAAAATAAAAAATCTGGAAAGTACATGGATTGCATGGCACTTTAAAAAATGTAAAATCTAGCAGTCTAGCATCAGAACCAATATGTTTAGGCGACATAGCATATGAATTACAAAGTGAGGATGGAACAAACGGAGACAAGTTCATGAACACACTAGAACCACTCATCTCTCGGGTAAGTTGTACGTAACATCCAGTGGATGCCACGAAGAGATGAATCAGGCTCATTTTGGCATTTTCCACTTCTTCAGATCCCTTACATGGTTGTAGCAGGAAATCATGAATACGAAGATGGTAGCTTCGCAAACTTCCAGGAGAGGTTTTGGATGCCTCAGAATGGTTTGGACGGTAACCTGTATTATAGGTATCATACGTATTTACTTCTGTAGAAGTTAAATTATTTGAAATGAGCATGGAAGGAATGAAAGAAAATAATGGAAATGCGGTTGTGCTAAAGACCGGAGGCAGAGTGTGTTCATGTCCCGCATAGCAAATTTAGAAGGAATTTTGATTTTGGAACAGGGTTCTGTCTCCTGCATCCTCTTCCTTTTCCTTCCTTCTCTTCTGCCGATCTAACTTTCGTTAAGCACGTCTATAATAAGTTCAGAACGTTTTCCATTTCAGCTTTGACCTTGGTCCTGTACATTGGGTAGCACTCAATGCTGAATACTATGGTTATTACGACAAACTCGGCAACGTTCCAATACTAACACAGTACGGGTGGCTGCAAAATGATTTGGAGGTTTGCGAAAGTTGTATTCTCTGCATCATCAAAAGTGGCGGGTGTGGGTGGGGCTCTATTCTAACTCTCTCGCGAGCGCGCTACTTTTCAGACGTAGAAGCTCCGCCCTCCATCTGCCGCTCCCAGTGAGACAGATGTTAAGTACTTTTAGCGCTTGTAATCCAAAGCTTAGGCAGCAAATTCAAATCGACATGAGAGGCCTTGGGTTCTTTCATATTTCCATCGCCCATATTATTGCTCTGCGGCTAGCAAAGATGATTGTATGGACGAAACTAGCACGTTGGTAGGAGTTGAATTTTTGTTACTGAACAACAAAGGCACCGAATTTACAGTTGAGAATTGGAAACAAAAAAGTGCCTGGCTTGGAAGGAGCTTTCCTTCAGTATAAGGTGGATATGACATTCTGGGGTCATGTACACTATAGTTGTAACGAACAAAAATTTCCGCCGAATGAACGAATATCGAATAATTAATTTTTAAAATTTTTTCGAACGAATGAATATCGAATAATTGATTTTCGAAAATTTTTCGAACGAATGAATATCGAATATTTGATTTTCGAAAATTTTTCGAATGAACGAATATTATTCGACTTTCGATTTTCATTTTATTCGAATTTGAATATTCGAATATTGGCACATTCCAAAATTCGAATGAACGAATACTTGAATAACCGAACTTGATCGAATATTCGACTAATTTCGAATAAATGTTCGAATATTATTCGAATATTTGAATGCAATATTCGAATATTCGAATATTCGAATAACTATCTTTTAAAACTACTCGAATGAATGAATATTCGAATAACCTTTATTTGAAACTCGTCGAATGAACGAATATTCGAATAAGTCATTTTTCGAAATCGTCGAATGAACGAATTATTCGAATATAGGCCTTTCTCATTCATTCGACTATTCGAATAATCGAATAAATGGACTTTCTCAAATATTCGACTATTCGAATATTCGAATAGTCGAATATTTCGAATAAATTATTCGAACACGAATATTCGGTGCTAACTATAATGTACACTACTACGAGCGTTTTTATCCTGTTGCTAATGGAATATACTGGAATTCGGTAAGAGATATCACGTCAATAACTTTATGTACATCTAATTAATTATTTTCTTCAGGAACACTGCTACGATAATGCAGCTGCACCGATGTACGTAATTGCTGGTTCTGCGGTATGTTTCTTATATTACATTCACCATTACTTGATCGGATTTTCAGGGATGCCATTCTACGGACACAAAGTTCGACAAAAATCCTGTTCCCTTCAGTGCCAAAAGGTGATCCCTAGCATTATTAACGCAACCACAGCAAAATCTATAATCTGCTTTCTAGGTCTAATGATTTTGGCTACACGATACTTACCGTATCTAACATGACGCATCTACATCTGCAACAGATCTCTATTAATCAGGACGAAGCTGTTATCGATGATTTCTGGGTTACAAAGAGTTGAAGATGGAAGAATAAACAATCAGTCATCTACAATTTTGTAATTATTTGCTGTTTATCTTTGGAGGACAGGTCTTCTTTCATATCCGAGGCCTAAATGAGTATCAATATAATCAGAAAGCTCTTCATACAGAAATTTTTCCGGTGAGCATTTACATGCTTTGAAGCAGCTTGATGATCAATAACTACGTTCATTGGGCGTTCATCATTACACCTTCCGTACGACATAAGTTACTGATATAGGTGATATAGGTCTAAGTCAGGGCTCGGCACGAGGTGGGCAAATGACAAGCTGGAAATCGTTTTGGGGCCAAAGCAAAGGGGATATCGTTTTTGCGGGATCCGGAGCGGAGCCCGGAAGAAGATTCCAAGTGCAAGCAAAGGAAGGTCGAATCATGCTTACCTTATACATCTAATTCATCGGAAAATAGTTTTCATAAACCTCAAAGCAAGCAGACTTCGCGCGCACTACGCCGCGTTGCCGCTAATTGCCGCGTGCGCGACGTCGCATGAGCGATGCCGTTGAACAGCATGATTACATGATCAGTTCTCAGTGTAGACGTAATGATATAGCACCAAATTACGTAAGCGAACAAAGAGAGGCTAGTAGAAACAAAGTATGAAACGTTATGAAAAACTTATGTGAATGGGAGGTGTAATAAGCATTCTTTCCAAAAATTTCGCAAAACTGGTAAATGAAGATGTGAATTCAAATGGCTCGTTTGCAGCGCACAGATGACCATACGGTATCAAACTTGGTAAGTACATGAACACGGGCCTGCAGGGCTTATCTTAGAAGTTTCATTGAAAAACTATGTGAATAAAGGTTGTGGCAAGCTTTTCTGAAAATTTCCCATTATCAAAAAAATGGCTCGTTTGCAGCGCAGAGAAAACGAAATCGCGCGAGACTTGGTGTGTATACGCGCAGTAGGACTAAGGAACAATGTATGAAAAATTATGAAAAACATGTGTGAATGAAGAGAGTGCTTAACTTTTTTCCAAATTAGGTGGGCAATTGCCCACCTAATGCCCACCTGAGGTGGGCAAAACTTTCAATTCACATAATTTTTTTTCAAAATTTTTACAAAAATCTGTTGTTCGCCCAAAGTTTACTATATGGTGAGATTTTGGTTCCGAAACTCCTCCTCTTGTCTTTGTTAGAGCCCAAAATCGCATCAGCAGCCTAGCTTTCTAAGATGGAAAGCGCCCCAGTCAATCGGTGCGCGCGGGAACGTCTCTCAGTCCTATGTGCGTTCCTTCAGTATTTTTTCATTCCTTCATCATTTTCCTTGCTTATTCTTCTTCCTGTTTTCTATCTTGATACAGGTGGGGAGTAATTATAAAGTGTGGCCGGTGCTCTCGTTCCACAAGCACAAAGCGTCATTTTTGGGCTCAAGGGGGTATTCGTAAAAACTATTGGGGTCAAAGGAAATTCGTTTTGGAAAACCTCATTCGCCCACCTCGTGCCGGGCCCTGAGTCTAAGTAACGTCAGGCATTTCGAACTATGTTCCTGCACGCATTCAAAGATCTGCTAAATGGAAATCAATGAAATGGACAGATGGACGCACTCCCAAGTCATTAAATAGCTACTATGCATTACCGTGCTCAACAGACAATGGCTAGCCGGTCGGTCAGCAGACCACGTTAGGCGAGGATTGTATAGTTAACTTAGCTCGATTGTTGTCTCCATGATCGATTTTGTAGTTTCAAACGATGGGTTTACTTAAGTCATTGAACCTAAATCACTCGTTAACAGTTTTGTTGGAACTCTTGATGATCATCCGTGACTAGGACCGCGTATGTGCTGTCCAGTGAACGCCACTCGCATGTCGAACTCAAAAATGGGGGCTAAATGGCTTTCTGATTTTGTTATTGTTTCTTTTTGCGGCTTCGCGCGATCTCACTCTCAGGCTTTGCTATATTACTTTTGTTACCTAACGTTTCAATAATTTTGTTTCTTCTTCTATGCTGATCTTATTAACGGTTCAGTCTCGTAATATTGTTCAAAAAAGGGTCATCAGATTTCTTCTGTGCTTCATTCCATTTTTGATTTTAGCTTTATAAGAAGCCCGCGATTCGCAGATATGGTGAGAACTGCACTTTGTGTTCAGAATTGCCTTTCCAAGCTGCGCTTGTGCCTCACACTGGTACTTACTAGAAGATGATTGGCTGAGACTGATTCAATGCTCCAGCTGGTATTATTCAAACACGCATCGTCACTGTCGCTTTTTTAAAGGCGAGGTGATATGAGAATTTCCGACCCTGTAGAGCAGGTGACCAGCCATTACCAAGCATAATATTTGTGCATCTTACGTTAATCGTACAAAACTTTGAAATGGTTCAAATGTGAACTTTCTTGACTAAAACACTGATGTCAATTTCTTGCTTGTGCAACTTTAAGCTTGCACATCAGCAATGCAAAGCTCTGTAGAGGCGTTACTTAAACAGATAACGATGGCTCCTAAAATTATGTTTCAAATACTATAATACTGGGATAGAGAGGACCAGTGAAAAAATGAGTGCAACTTTCTTGAACAATGAAGTTAATTCTTTTATTACCTAGTCAAAACAATTTTTTGGAACTGTGCACGGCAAGCATACAATTAATGATAAACAAAGCTCGCTCTGTCGCTTTCGTACATATGAGCACAATATCAGGAAGTGGTTGGAAACAGAAAGTCCTACAAGAGCAAAGAAGCAATCAGCATGGAGAGAGCTAATCCGAAACAAAGTGATGTACTCCCACTGTCAGTTTTCCGGGTTGTTGCTGCGGCATCCGAGCTCGTTGCTCTCCTCGTCGTGCCTAAGGTCGCTGAAAGACTGCTTGTCTTAATCGTGCTCGTTTTGCTGTTCGTCATGTCCGTGGTTGAAGTGCTGCTCGCCGTGTTCCTGCTCGTAGAATCGCTGCTCGTGGTGTCGGCGCTCGTAGAATCGCTGCTCGTCGTGTCCGTTGTTATGTAAGTGCTGCTCGCCGTGTCCGTGGTTATGTAAGTGCTGCTCGCCGTGTCCGTGGTTATGTAAGTGCTGCTCGCCGTGTCCGTGGTTATGTAAGTGCTGCTCGCCGTGTCGACACTCGTAGAATCGCTGCTCGTCGTCTCGACGCTAGTAGAAGCACTGCTCGTCGTGTCCGTTGTTATAGAAGTGCTGCTCGCCGTGTCCGTGGTTATGTAAGTGCTGCTCGTCGTGTCGGCGCTCGTAGAAGCGCTGCTTGCCGTGTCCGTTGTTATAGAAGTGCTGCTCGTCGTGCCCGTCATCGAGTTCGTAGCGATGACAATGAAGACGAGTAAAGCTGCAAATACGAGGCTAACTAACGATAAGTTCCTCATTTCGAGAGAAAACTGTTGCTTTCGTAGAAATGAAGTGCGTATGTTTAGCGCGCAGTGCTTCGTTTTTGAATCTCTTGTATGTCGTGTTCCTGGCTCACATCTGTGAAACTCTTCATAACCAAGCAAGTGCATTCATAAATGTGATTCAGCCTGTTCCGCCTTAGCAGAATAAGAATAGTTGGAACAGCGTAATCGGCATTATTATTTGATATGTGCGCACATGTTTTCAAAAATTTCCTGTAAGCTGAACCGCAAGTTTAGGACGTGATACATAATTTTGGACATCAAACATTTTGACATCAAAAAGATGTAGAAAAGCATTTATATTTTCAAGCATTAGATATATGTAGGTAAAGTTAACCAGAAGTTTATTATGAAAGTACGATTTGCATGCATCTGGCTCCCTTGGCAACCCAGAAGCTTTTTACGTTGCCTTTTTTTGAGTCAAGTTCAAAGCTTTGCGTTAACTCAGAGATAATTCTGAGTACCCTTTAAAAATTTGAAGTTTCTTTCATTAAAACTTGGAGTTTCGCTTTCCAAACTCCGAAGTTTAATCTTTCTCTCGGGGGTGTAGAACTATCGCACAATAGAAATGCCTGAACTATGTATGAAAAGACCTCTCCTCTTTCGGCATGGTTTCCTAAGAGAAGAGATTGAGAAGAGTCTGTGTGCAAAGCTGTTATGCACATCATTGTAAAATCGATGTTTGAGATGGGGGAATCTATTTGGCTTGGCGCAAACGGCCATTAAATCAGAAGGCCAAGGCCCACTCTTTACGTCCTACTTTGTCCAGGCGGGCACCTCTACACATCAGAATGTGCGCCGCGCAGAGCTGAATCGAATGATGCCCTTGGGCTAAGGATTAGTCCGCTTTAAAGCGAGGTTTGGCCACGCTGTGATGTCACATGAATCGGGCGACTGTGCGTTGTTATTTTGAAGACAAAAACGAGCGGTATTGCCCGCCTTACAAACACCGTAATCTGCATGACATGGTTCAAAAAATGGATAATGTTATCGCCTTCTGATCTCCGAAGAACCCCAGCGTACCACGTTGTAGTCAATTCTATCACTTTAGCTCACCTACCATAAACCTAAATCTTGCTAAATGACACCACAATATAAAATGATTACCATTTTCGTGATCATCGCCATAACCCTACCGATTAAGTTCCGATCAATTTCGTGAATTTCTTCTTTCTACCATGAACCTACCATACCAAGCTAAATGTCTCCGCCTTATTAGAAATTATATTATTCGTAATTAGCGCACCCCCACGCCAAAAGTAAGAATTTGAAAATTGGCAAGTAATCGTGGACTTCGATATTTACCCTATTTTCCGGTTTATAAGCCGCACCCGCCGCAGCGAACAATGGCGCGAAAGAGCCTTCGAAAAGAAAGTTCTGATCTAACAAACTGAAACTCGCTGCATTTTGTGACTGCTTTTCATTGCGCATGTTCACGTTTTTAGATATTTCTTTATTCTTCCCAGAGATTCAGACGATTTTGGGGTGTTTGGGTTGTGTTTCTTCCTGAAGGATACAATGGAATTGACCGTGTCTTCTTTTGTTTTTAGAGATGTTACTGAGGTTAAAGCTGTTGCTACAGTCGTCCTCACCCCACTAGTCGGTCGGTGGACAGATTCGAATTTGAACTGGAGCAGGAGGTCGCGGCAGAGCACGGCACATGAGCTCTCCGTTCAAATTCACGCATTCACTTTGCGTATTTCTTCGCCATTGCTTAGCAGTTTTTGTATTGTTACAGCGTTTTTGATCTGTGTTGAGTTTGTAATTGCTGAGCGTTGTCTCCTGTCGCGCTTTGCCGTGATAGGCCTGCTCCAATTCAAATTTGAATTCGTCCACCAACCGACTAGTGGGGTGAGGGCTACTATATTTTATTCGATTTTAATGATTGTTGATGATGATGTTGATGTTTCAATGGTGCTTTCAATGCTTCCACAAGAAAGAGCGAAAGTTACAATCAGGCTACTAGGTAAAATAGGTGGTAGTTGGCTGCTTGCGCGGCTTCGCACATCGCGACCATCATCTCGCATCAGCCCGCGCGCGACGAAAATAATTGCGGCTTATACGCCGGAAAATAGGGTACATGAGCCGTCTGAACATGCCCCATACCCCATCACGGTTGCTGAAAACTACGAGCAAAATGTATTC